ATACTGCCATTATTGTACTCTATTAATTACTGAATGACGATACTATTCACCATTTTCGTAACTTAGGGCTTTCAGGTAATGGTGATATGATAGTGAAGACCATTTTTATTTGTATTTATACGAGTGATTAACAAAATCGATTTCGACCGCGAAGCTGGGATTTAGGTTGTTAATCACGAATATGATGTCAAACAGAGTTGAACTGAACTAGATATGACAAAGATTTTGGGAGAAAAATACCTTTGGTATTCAAGAATAAAAACAAAGCAGTAGATGTTTTGCCACGGAGAAGGAAGCATAGTCTATATAACTGCTCGCAAGTAACGCGTCGTTAATGTCAATAATGACACTTACGCTAAAGCCTCAGAGTCGGCCCGTCGGCGTTGCAGAAAGCGCGTTTCTCCGCACGCGGAAGAAGATTTGAGGCAAGTCGGGGAAAGGTATGCCGGAGGTCTGAACCCCTTCTGAACTTCTCGGTCCGCGTTGGTCAAAGCCTCATACGTTCCCGCAAGGGAAGAAACGCTTCATAATCCTGCTCATAGGCTACTTACACTGTCCCATCGGAGCTAAAAGCGGGTAGCTAATGTAAATTACTTTCCAAAATTTCGATAAATTTAACTCCCAAATAAAATTCCGAAAATTGGTTTCCATTTGATTGACCGTATTACGGTAAGGCCGCTTGTTCGAAAGGCGATTGGGGCTGATCCGGAATTGAAATTTTTGTCAAACTTCATTTTATTTTACCTCACACAATGCAGATACAGCCTTTGTTTCGTTTTTTTTTTTTGATGTAACCTACGATTGTGCGCCTAATAGACTTTTGTTTCATGCATCCCGACAAGTTGTTTTTGCGTCATTGCGTCAGCAACACAGTCATAACTGATTGTACCTAACAACGTTGTGTTACTTACAAAGGTTTAACAATACGATATTGTAATTAACAAGCAGAATTTAATTCCAACGAGAAAGATATTAAACTGAGCCATTAGACACGAGTCTGCCTTATGACAACGGTTTCTTTGGATAAACCTAGGCTGTTGTTTGACCTCTGTTTATCTGTTTTCTGGATTTCATTAATTCAACCTCCAGTAAAAGTGGAAAAGGAGGGAGGGGAGGGAGGAGGGGCTTACAGCTGTGTCGGATAATCACAACCTTTTCTTTTAGATAGCTTAGATCTCATCTTCTTCTTCCTCTTTCCTCTTCAACGTCGCTCGTGTCTTCATCCACATTTCCATCATGGCTGTCCCTCGTATATCCTGCTCCTGAAGACCTTCTTGATCCGCTGTAATTAACCTGGGACCCAGTCTCCTCGAACTCATCGTCCGAGTCGACATCTACGATTTTGCCATCCTTAGTAACCAAGTCCCTTACCAGCGCCTCCTCTACGCCTGCGCTACGAAGGATATCCGCATACTTTCGCTCTGCGGCGCGCCTTGCCGTGGCTTGAGATTGCTGCTCAAAGAGCAGGGGTCGTTTATTCACACGATCGTGCATCTCCTTCAGTTCCCGGTTGTATTCTTCTCTCCGTGCCCGATCACCTTCCCTGTAGGAAGTAGATAATGTTATAAATGAATAACTGTAGTTCCCCGGAGACACCGTACATACGAGTGATGTAAGGACCGAAAATCGACAGCCTATTCCCTCTAATCGCATAAAAGATGAAAATTAAATTGGCAAAAAAAATTCTGCAATCGAAATACCTAGTTCTTGTTTTGCCTACAGAATAAGCAACTAAAATTGATTTACTGGTCCTTCCACCATCAAACATCGAACTTTTCTCTACGTAATAAAAAAACGGCGTTACTCATTTACGTCAAATAATAGATGAACACGCCTGTCTGATATGCGCGCGTTACTGAGCGCGCAACGAGCAGCCACTCCGAAGGAACCGAGACGTTTCCGATTGTCAGCTCAATATTTGGACCTACAAAGACGTCCCACTCTCACCGCGTGTTATCAACTAAAACACGCGTGTTTGCGAGATTTCTGTGGCTATAGGAGCAATGCGCTTGAGAATTAAAGACACGCAAGAGGGACAAATAAGTTACTCGTCAATAAAAGGGTCACTCACCTGAAACTTTGAACCTTTTCTTTCGCAGCCTTTTTCAATTGCGCGCTGTGATCATTCGCCATGACTTTTCGTGTTACTTCTGGTTTTAACATCTTTTGTCGGCGCTGCCTCTGTTGCACCTGTTTTATCTCTTCTTGCTCATTTGCTCTTCTATTTTCTAGGCTCCTGCGGATTGTACTTTCGCGCAACCGCGCAGACTCTGTGATTCTGAAAGAAAAATGTTCACGAAGACTTCAATATCAGTATCTGAGCAACTGCACTCCAACTCAGATACTGACTTTGATCTTAAAACTCTATCAAATCCTTATAGGGGCGATAAGAAGGGCAAATAAAATATTCATCACAATTGTAAGATTCATCACGAATGTAGATCTTACATCAAGGTTGATACATGCTAAGTTTCTTTTGGCTTTTTTCCCTGTAAAATAATACGTAGTACACAAAATAGTGAAGTTACACCTATAAATTTCATAATCGTTTTTTGATTCGAAAGAAAAATGAGCACTTTAAAAGAGACAGAAAATTCTACGCTTGCGGCCACGTTAAGGGACAGCTTTGAATTTTTGGCGTGGTGGGCTCTCTTTGACTGCATACTATGCATTCTGAGATTGTTCGTTGCCCTCTATTTATCGAAGTACAAATGTACCGCCGACGTCAAATAGGAATTTTCTCCTTTTTTTGTCCAACAACGCGCAAAGTTTGGAAAATATGGGAGGGATTTTTCTCTCTTTGCTCACTTTGTTTCGTCTAACAAAGCGCACAGTTTGAGAAAAAATGGGCCCGATCTTTCCGTTTTGAACAAGTAAGGGCTCCAAAGAAGTGAGACAGGGTCTTATTAAAAGTAAGGAAAAGAAACCGAGTCATTGGAGACGGGAAAAACCTCTGAAGAGTGAAATATAGATGGAACAGTCGAGGGTTGCACGACAACTTTGTAATTTAGTTTACTTCACATTTCCTTCTAGTGTAAGACAAGAAAGATTCCTTTGTGTGGTGTTATGCAACAGTTTTTTATCATAGAGGACGCAGAAATGAGATTAGAAATTCGAATGACGTCAAAATATGGTAAGGAACATCAGTGACACACTCGGCTGGGTAGACTATGAGCAACCCCTGATTTTTTTTACCTCGAGCGAAAGACCTCGTCTAAAAGGAAAGATTGTTGGAGATCAATCTGCCGTGCATCGCATGCCAATTTTTCGCTCTCATCACATTTTGACTTCATCTGTGATCTTTTACTAAAAAAGACGCGTAGTTAGATGGAATCTATTTGTTAAATGGATTTATGCTTACCCAAAAGGAAGTGTATCATGTGGTGTGGATGACCTGGCACTAGAAGGTCTTTCCCTACTAGCCGAGCGATCCCGGGACGATCTGCCAGTATCCGGGACCTCTTGAGACCTAGAGGACCTCGCCTTCCTTGTCGTGGATAGACGCGCTGTTCTAAGATTGAATGGCTCTACAACTGTAGGTTCCAGCTCCTTTTTCTTATTCCTCATCTCTTTTTCAAACTGTCTATGGAGCGCATCGAACTCAGGCACATCCGGGTTAATTTGCGGTCGAAATTTGTGGTCTTTGGTCATAAAAGCGTTTTTATTGCCTTCTTTGTTCAGCTTACTGCGGAAATGACCAAGCGTGTATTCTTCCCCTCTCGCTTCCATATTTGGAGGGAGACGTGACACAGCTAGCGTTTCCTGCGCTCGCATGCGTATGCGAATTGCTCTGTACTCCTCTTTTTCGGCAATCCTATCTGCAAGAGTCAGATCAAACAAATGATCAGGAAATGGGTTAGCTTTAAACTTCTTTTTTTCATCAATTTTGTTCTCGAGTTCCGCGAGATTGCTTAGAGATTTGGTCCGACGCATTTGTTTCTTCTCCTCTTCGCGCTTCGTGAATTTGAACGGTTTTTCAGTTGATTTGAGGATCGCTTTGCTTAGTTCTTGTACGTGATATCTTCTCAGTTCATTCTGCCGGGTAATCTCATCGTAAAGTGGCAGAAACGTCGTAGCGGGAACAGGCTGCGCGCGGAATTTCTTATGCAACTCAGCTTCCTCTTTTTCTTTCTTCTTCTTCAAATCTTCCTGAAGAATCATTTGTGATCTGGACATGTTTTTCGCCTTTTTCTTAGCCTCTCTCATCGTCATTGTAAATGGTTTAGGAATGGTGATCTGCGGGGTCCACTCTTTCTTTTTCGCATGTTTTTCGCGCGGTGGGCTGGCCTCAGGGGGGTAATCATAAACTGAGAAATCTTCCCACATGTTCTCGACCACATCCAGCGCGGACGATCTCTGCGGATACATCTCCTTGTACAGGACTTTGTGATCTTCTGATCGACTCCTGGTAGCATCTCTGTCCTCATCCTCCCAGTATTCTCCATCTAAAGGATCACTAAAAGATCTTCTTCGTGAAGCTTGCAGTTCCTCTACAGACGAGTCTCCTGCAGAAAAAAAATCAAAAAGTTAAAAATAATACTTTTGGGAGAAAACGGCTCGATCTTAAAAAACAGATCTCTATCAAGACCTAAGAAATACTTCCCTCTAGCTAATTTATCTTTTAAATTCTTAGGACCCCTTTGCCTAATAATGTTTTGATATTGTAAGGAGAAGTTGTAAGTGACTTATCTCTAGGATTGAATGTTATGAATGACTTAAAGTGAGCTTTGCCATCCTGAAAAACTTGATAAAGAAAGTATCCATGAATTATGTATAAGCTTCTAGAGAATTTTTCCTTCTCCAGTTTAAAGGTTTGGTGTTTTCATGGCACTTACCATATTCACTCAATATTTAACTCAATATTTACTCAATACTGCCACATCAAGGAGTGGTTTGTTTATTTGGGGAATGCAAATCAAGTGCAAGTAATGGTTTTTCTCATCTAAAACAGCCTTAATTTTATTTTCCTCGGCCCAGTTGTCCAAAGATCGGTTAGTGCTAACCCAGGGTTAAATTATCATTCAGGGCCGGGTTGTTCAAAGCTGGGTTAAGATAACCGAGGGTTAGTGTGAAATCCGATTTCAGATCTAAAAGCTTTAAAAGAACATTCAGTCAAATTCTTTTTGTCTAGAGTATGACTATTTGATGCTTTAAAAAGGACACTGAAAATTTTCCCAAAAAGGCTTTAGAGTAAAGGAATAAAGAAACCCAGATTAAAATCTAACCCTGGGTTAGCGCTAATCGGCCTTCGAACAACTGGGCCCAGGTTTCTTTATTCCTAAGCTGTTATTGGGATAATTTTCTCTATTCTTTTGAGAGCATCCAATCATCAAATTATAGACAAAATGAGTTATAGTGAATTCTCTTTTCAAACTTTCAGATCTGAAATCAGATTTCACTCTAACCCTGATTTATCTCAAACCAGCTATGAACAACCCAGCCCTGGACAACAGTGTCCTACAGTGTCCTACAGTTTATAGAAGCTACACTTCCAGTCTATTCCAATTAACTCTTCTACTCTAGTTCCAGAGCAATGAGACACATTGAGATCTTGGAACAATAAAGAAAAACAGTTCAAGGCACAAGCCCACTTTCCTCCAAAATCCAAACATGACCTGCACACATTGTTATTATGGTCAAAGAGAGGTGTTGGAACAAGCAAGAACTTTTTCTGAATGACTCAAGAGAATCTACACAAACATTACCACCCTTTTTTTTTTTTAAGAATATATGTTTGACTTGATGTTCAATGCTCTTATGTTTGACAGTTTGGTAAAAGTGCTAAGTCATCATCATTATCATTACAACCATTGTCATTATCATTTCATTATCATTATTGTCATTACAAAAATAAATTATTACTATAATTATAGAAATTATTTGTATAATAATATTATTATTATTATCATTAATAATGATGCATAATATTATTACCTTCATTTTCCTTTTCTTCTTTTGTTCTATGTTCTCTGATTGACATGTCCCTAATGCAATCTTCTGGTCTGACTGAAATTGCAGTGCCTTTCTTTTCCTCGTTTTCTTCCGCTCTTAGAAAGGGATTATAATCACGCAAAGGGAAGTGTTCTTGGACTCTAGAATCATCAAAATCTCTTACAGCTATTTTCGTCTTGGAGTCTAGTTCAAACCCGTGGTCGCGTTTGTCCTTTTCGGAATAATAAAGCTTTTCCAGCGCTTTTAGACTTTTCTTGTGTTCATTCTTCAACGCTAATAGATGTTCATAGAAGTTCTCCTCGTCAACACCGTCAAGCTCACGAAGAGAATGCGACAAAGACTCTCTGACCGACACCTTGGTTTTGTGGCCTTGGTGATGCTTTTTGTGTCTACGAGAAGATGGCAGTTTCCTTTCACTAAAATCGGATAATCCATCATTCTCAAGTGGTTCTGCTTCTAAGGAACTTCTTGCTCTTTCGTTTTCAGTTGCTGGTTTATTTGTTCTGGGATGTCTGGGCGCTGTGTAACACAGATTTTTTATAACGGCCGTTCCATGGTTCGACGCCATATTGAATACTGAGTTCGTAACAACCGCGGGCTTTATGTTTTGTCTTGACAACGAAGACAAATTTCATACGCAGTATGGTACGGTAGTCAAAAGCTATCAAATTAAATTATATTCGATAATTTGTCAGAAATGGACCGTCAGATTTTACAAAATAATAGTTATACCACTATTAAGGCTATATTATTTATTAGTTTATTAAGTTTATGAAAAATTCCATACCTTCTTGTACAATACAAAAACTCTGCCACATCCCTCTCCACTGAGTGTAGGATATGCGATTCAGCCTCGTTTCTTTGTTGTTGTTCCCAGTTCCTTCTCGTTGTGGCTCGGTCTGAAAAATTCAAGATGTCTGAAGCAGCGTTGTATATATTTGGCCTGATCGATGGCGCTGCGTTACTATTTTTAACCGTTTATTTTGTATCCTTCAACTGATCTTATTACATAATAATAGGTACATTATTTTGGACGTCACTCTCTCTGAAAAGTTAGTTTGTACAACTATAATTTGTTAGTTGTCATATGCATGCCATTTGTAGCGATATCTCATTCTGTTGAGTTAAGATTCCCGGCTTAATTCAGTGCCATCAGCATTAATTCAGTTCTGCTACAAAGGCATAACCTTGAACATGACTTAATTATCCTCATAAATGTATCATTTAATAATTCGCTTATTACCGTTTAGTTTGCACTTAAGCTTGAATCGTAATTCTATGTTTTACATTGTCGAGATTTTTTTGTTAACTTGAGTTTTTGCATAATCAAGATCATTAACTTATCGGATCTGGAATGCGACTACATCAATGCCACTACATGTTGCAGGAGACTTAACATGGTAAGTGTCATATTGAGATAAAGAAACCTAAAAACTCTTTCCAAATTCAAACAGAGATGATTTGAAAACACGAAACGTCTCTAACCACACCCGGTAGTTAGATAACGGCGTAACACCCCAATAATTTAAAATTAGGATGCAAAATTAAGACTTTAGATGGTTATGACGATACCTTAATACATCTAAAACGATTGCTACAAATCAATTGTTACCACTACAACTAATATGTTAAGTTATATGTTCCCATCGTTTTGTTAATATGAGAAATCTATAAATTATTTACCAACAAAATTCAAAATTCACATGTATATTTTTCTAATTTTGTTTTTTCAGTGGATTCTTCCAGAAATAGTTGCACATGGAGTCATAACAGTATTGTTACTTGTACATTTTCAGTGGATATTTTTCTTGTTCAATGCTCCTCTTTTAGGTTGGCTTGTGTACAGGTGGGTTTTTCTGAGCACCAAGAAAAGAGTTCACCCCTCTTATTTTTACAGGGTGTAGAATTTTCTCTATTTAGCATTTTAAGAAGGACTTCAAGCCTGGAAAAATGTTTGAAAAGTTGATATTTGGTGGGAATATTCTTGATGTGACTTCCAGGAGAAGGATATATGCTGCAATATTTTGTAGTGGACAGGTTAGCAAGAAGTGTTTATTCTGTCCCCTAGAGGGTCAGGGTCTATAGGTCTCAACCCCTCCCCCCTTGAATTTACCTAGAAATTTCAGCTCTAAGGAAGAAAGTTAGGGGCAAAGAGTATCGTAAGTAATGGCAACATGCAAATGAAATCATGAGGGAAAATTCTAAGATTGCCAAGATTGTAATGTTATGTTGCCTGCATGAACAAACCTGGATTGTATAAAGTTTGCCTTGTAAACTAATATCTTGTCTCCCACTTCAGATTTGTTAACAAGCCAACTGGTAATGTTGGTGTATATGACCCAGCAGAGATCCACAACAGGCATGAACTTAAAGGATTTATTAAAGAAGCTATGATCAAACTTGGATTTCATCTCTTATTCTTTTTTTTATATCTCTATAGGTAAGTTTAAGTTTTTTCCCATAACGATAATTGTTTTCTAAAAACATTAACATGTATATAAACCAGTGGTTTTAAATTGTTTCAAAGTAGGCATCAGACTCTGAAATTGAAGGTGATTGTGAAATGTTCATTAACTCTTTAACTCCCAGAAGTGATTAACATGTAACTTCTCCCTATGGTTTCCATACATTATCCAGCAAACAGGTAGTGAGAATACTCAAACTTATCAGGTACAACATATTGTCTCGATTGAACAACAAATTCTTGTAACCAATTTACAAGGAAATGTGTAGCAGCTAGAGGGGAGAATTAACAATCAGATCTTGGGAGTTGAAGGGTTAAAGGCCAAATCTTGGGAGTTAACCATATCATGTTTTGAAATGTATCTTTCAACAGTTTAAAGAAACATATCTTATCTAAGCTATGAAGTTGAGTTGTTTTTTTGTCTTCCTGAAAAATAAAATTAGCTTCCTAATGCTCTTTAAGGAAATATTTGTGTTTTAAAGGTCCCAGAAAGATAGTTGGATTTTATTTTCTTTTTCTCCTCAAATCAATAAAATCCTGTTACTTTAAGGGTTTGGATTTGTTTGGCAAATGAACTTATTGGTTTGAATCCCTTGGTAGTAAAAAAAACTCTATTGGATGCATTGTACTGAATGAAATATTTTAATTTTCTTTTCTGTTTATAGTATGATATCTGCTCTGTTGAATGAAGATACGAAAAAGGAGACAAGTTGAATTATGGTAGTTATTTTTGGTATTTACCATCCAAAATTTTTGCAAGTTTCAGCCTCCAGATAAAATGAACTTGGTGAATTTGTAAAAACAAAGTTTAGCAAAAGTAGTGGTTTGCTCTATTTTTTTTAATTAAATATTAATTTGTAGTGTTGTAACTGTTAAACTGCTGTTGCAACTGCTAACTTTTATTCTATATCTTGACATTTTGTGGTGTTTAATTTTCAACATTGTGGTTAACAAGATGATTTTTTCTGAAGTCCCAAGGTACAAAATTTATGTTTTCCATTTTGATACCAAATAATTTCTAAAGAATTACCTCTGTTGCCAAATGTTAAGTATTGTTTGAAAAGAGGAAATGGCTTAGGAGGGTTTGTTGTTTGGAAATCAGGTTGCTTTTAAATACAAAACATATTATCTTCAGAATTACACATATTTATTTGTCATTTTTGTACTAACTTGAAGTTTTTCATAGTGAATTGTTGTTTTTGTTAGAACATTCTTTGCAATTCCATTGCAATTAAAGGTATTTTATCTCTTAAATATACAAGTTTTGCCTTGTGGGATTTGTTTGATGTGTTACTTTGGGTAGCATGGATAATACCAAACATGGTTTGAACAAAATTTTTTCTATTAAAGGGTCAGAGAAACTGGTCTCCCATTCATGTACTTGTTACTTGGTGGAAAATATTTCTTCTCCCATGAATTTCAAAGACTATGCATTTACTTGAAACAATTTTTATTCCCAGATGCCACAATTGTTTTATTTTACACACTGATCCAGATTTCTTTTACAATTTTTTAAAATAGTGCAAATTAAATAAACAGTCTCCCAACTTGTTTCATAGCAACAAAGTTTCTCTATACTCAGGCAATACTAAAACATTCATTACCAACAATTACTGAAAAAGATACTGTTAAAAATTGCATTTTTTTTTCTTCATTTGATTAAATTCTGTTTTTCATGTTGTGGAACCTAAGCATGCAATTCTTATTAACTTTCATTTTATTTAAATTAAATGTTCATTAAATGGTGAGCTTCATGGAATTTAAAAAATTAATCACAAAAACTATCAAACATCCATCTTATCAGTAGTTTTTTTTTTTTCATTTTCTGTTACAGACTTCTTTCCTGGCCAGTTCTAAAGCACCGATAATTCCAGTTGAATCACCAAAAATGCTTCCCCTAATGTAACTTGCCAATCCATCTTCTGTCTTGAATTTCTCTACCTCAAGATATCCTTTCATTAAATCCTTAAACCATCTTCTTGCTTTGCTAAAAAGTACTCTGCGCTTCAGGATTCCTCCTCCCAAGACAATCACATGAGGAGAGAGCAGATATGTGACATTTAGGCACAGAACTCCGAGGTAGTAGCCAGCCTTCTCCCACACCTCATGATCATCTGTTAGGGTATGGAGTTCCCTTTGGCTCACCTTAGCTCGAGCTGCAATTGCTTTAGAGTGCACCATGCCCTCTACACAATATCCATGGTTGAAACCACACCCCCCAGGGTAGCTGTCCCCATCGAGAGGAGGTACCATAGTATGTCCTCCCTCGAGATGAAGAAGCCCGTGTAAGGGTTTCCCACACACCGCAGCTCCTACGCCGACACCAGTTCCTACAGTGATGTAAACCACCGTGGGAGGATCCGCGGGATCGTGTTCAATTTTCGCGAGTTCAGCCATTGCTGGTGCGTTGACATCTGTATCGAACCCAATTGGAGTGGAGTCGCCGAATTCACGTTTAAAAAAGCCGACTATATCGGTATTTTTCCAAGGTTCTTTTGGAGTTGTGGTGATAAAGCCGTAGGTTGGAGAACCCCTGCACAGATCTACTGGCCCAAAGGAAGCGATTCCGATAGCTTCATATGAAGCGATGCCCAGACTCGTGCGCTTCTCCTGAAGGAATTTCGTCAAACTTGAGAGCGTCTCCTGTGGCCTAGCTTCCGTGTCAGTTTCAAAATTCGCAATAATCTTTGTTGGTTGGCGTAACTCTGCAATTGCGGCAATACATGTCGTGCCTCCAAGCTCCACTCCGGCAATATACGCCATTTTTATCGATCTTGTTTAAAAAAAAATGACAAAACACATCACAAGAAAAAATATACTTTTCTCAGCTGAGTCCGGCGCGTGAACTGTCAGCGGAATCCATTCTCGTACGCGTGCAGGGTTTGACCTCCCGCCTTGCGGATGTAGATCAAGGACTTTCTGTAAAGGTCATTTGCGTGACAATTCAAATAACCTTTTCATTTAAAAAAGAATTTGCATGAAGAATAGACAGACGGTTTCGCTTTCCTTTCATTGTTGAAGAAGATGGCGGAATCCACAGCACCGTACGGCTCCTGGCAAAGCAAGATATCAAGCACTACTGTCGTTTCAGAGTCAAGATCAATAATGGAAGTTAGGATAGACCCTTTCCAAGAAGGTAAGCGTACTTTTGAATAAGTGTCTGCAGTGCTAGTGACAGAGACTGCAAAATTCCTCTGAAAGTACGAGCGTGAGTCGAGCGAAAGCACATGGCAGCAGCTAATGTCAGATGAAGCATTAGCAATCTTTTATTTAGGTTTTTTTTCTTAAGCGTTGCAGGTTCATGTTTAGGTTATGAGTTGATCAAGGTCGGCAAACTTGCATAGGAAGAAGTTAAACGATATATTTTTCCGAGAAGCGTCACGGAAACGGTAAAGAAGAAAAAGCTCACGAGCTAGGCAAGCGACTCTTTAGTGTGCGCCTTTTGCATGCATGAGCGACAAGATTAAAAAGACTGAAAAAAATTATTTCCTTCCGATTAATTTTTTTAACTTAACCGGAAAAAAAAGCTTAAAAAAGGTTTTAACCGTTGAGTTAAACGCTAGTCCCGTAATTTGTAGACATGTATGGCTTACAGAGAGGGACGCTGAATCTGATCAAGGAATAATTAAACCAGATGGTTTTGTCTTGCAAGTTGCCTTAGGCGGGATGGCTGACAGACCTAAAACTCTTAATGAACCATGCCTCATCTTTTTTTTAATTCATGAAAATTTTGACACTTGAATTAAAGACGTACCGTTTGGAACAGCTTGACCACTCTTCCTACCGCGCAAAGCCAGGAATCTGGAAGTTTTAATTTGATTCCACTTAAAGGCTTTGATTTAGTTTTAGCAGCTACAGCCTAGGCATACCTCCTTCAAGTATATGCATATTAAGAGACTTAACGTTTTTGTGACAACTTGTACATGTGCGCCGTTAATTTCGATTATCCTGTGTTTTTGCACTTGCAAGTATACTAAACTAAAGACAGATAAGTGCAAGGCGTGCAAGGCTTGCCAGACACAGTCAACTACTATTTCAAAGAACTCAATGTAATTAGTCTGACATTGCATTCACTTCCATTGAGAATAATGTTGCTGCAACTCCTTACTACATGTTTTCTTTGCCTGAGGAACATTTACAATATGCATTAAGACATTGCGATTCACATGAAAAGTGACTACATAATAAGATAGAAAATTGCATTCTTTTGATATTGAATTTCTTTGCAATGAACAACCACAATTCTTTTCATAATAATTCTAGTTTTTTCTTAAGTCCAAGAGTAAACCTTTTGCCTCAGAATTGAGGTTGTTAGGTTACTTAATATCTCTAAGTTGCGACTGAGAAATGCCACTTTCATTAAAATTATTTGATTCATTGTTTCCAGACTTTCATCGTTATGTATTTAAGCTTAAAATTGCAATAACATGAATTAATAATGAACTTTGTAACAAATTGTGCATCAAAAATGTGCAAGTTAGGATGCTACAAGGATTTCTAAATATGTTTCCTTGCTCTTCTGTTTTCTAGTTTGGTAGAAGACCTTTGCTAAATGTTACTTGATTGACTTTTTCTCTTTAAATTAAGGTGCCATGATAGTCTTCACTAAACAATGCTCCATAATTAGCATCTTATCTTGTGTAAATGTGGCATTGACATTGAGATAAAAATGCTTGAAGCCTGTTGGCTAGTTCATTAAGAGCTCTTGACACACAAAATCCATTATTGTCTCATCTGAATTTACAAGATGGATATCAGTTTTCACATTGACCTTTACTCCTGCCTATAAAGAAGCTTGGTGGCAAAAAATGTTTAAGTTTGGCTGGGATTATTCATGCCAATCAGTCCTTTATTGCAAAACATTTGTCACATTCTATTTGTCTTCCTTGATAAAATTATTCAAAGATTTCTCTCCAATTAAGGAAAATTTTTATTTAGGCCTCTTGAAAAACTCAACCTATCTGGGTGTATCTCCGTTTGACTAATCCTCAATTGAGTGCTTAAAAATAATGATCCAACATTTTACTTGCAATTCTTTACAATACCAAACTGAAATTAACATTGTGAGAATTCTATGGCAGATGGTAAGAGCAATCATGGGGTAGACTACTGAGATCATGGGAGTGAAGGGTTAATGATCAGTTAGTGGTTTTTATGAGTCACTGGGAGTGCTGTGTTTGGCTGTTGTGATTACTTTGGCTTCATTTTTTTTTTAATTCACTAATGAAAGCAAGTAATTTAGTATGTTTATAAATAAGGTATGTTTATAAATAAGTGAACAAACTCATAGGTTCTTTGTTTTGCCACCTACTCTTGTAGATAAAGTCTTCTGGTCAGAGATGCGGCCAGAGGAAGAGGGAAGATATGTCATCTGTTGTTGGAGTGGGGGACTAGAATCCATTACCCCAGATGGTTTCAGCAGTCGAACACTTGTCCATGAATATGGAGGGGGTGCTTTCTTTGTTCACAAGTACCGGATCTATTTTTCTAATTATGAAGATCAAAGGATGTACTGCCAGAAAATAAAGAAATCTGGGACTGAACCAGTTCCTATCACTCCAAAGCATAAAGCCTGGAGATATGCTGATGGTGCCATGTACAAAAAAAACATCATTGTTTGTGTACGTGAAGATCATGACGTGCTTTCTGAAGGAGCAGAAGAGGCACAAAACACAGTTGTATCTATCAACCGGAAGAAAAAAGAGCAGGTTGTGTTGGTGAGTTACTATGGTAGTCATAACCTGTTTGCTATTTTGTGTAAGTCTGCTATGGTGAGAATTTAAATGTTAATCACTTCTGAGAATTCAAGGGTGAAGGATAGGTACGATCACCAGTTCAAGTTTTTTATTGAATTTTTTGAGGAAATACTTGGAAAATGTATAACTCAAGAAGCGTCATTGTATTATTTAGGTATAATAAAATTTGCACAGTTATTGTTACTGGACAATTAACTGAGCCCTTTCTAAAATGAAAAATGTATATTACTGCTAACTTGCTAGCACTACAGTACAACAGTTTGGCAAAAAACTTTATTTTTATGAAGGGTAGCTTGTGATTTTTCCCTCTGAAAATGTATACAGGTCTGGGTAAGCCCACAGATTTACTCAGTCAATTGGAAACCCTTGGACTCATACTTTTACTTGTCTTAGAATCCATAGGTCTCTAATATTCATTTGACAAATATCTACTTTGCAAAGTCAGGTTTGACAAGCATGTGTTTAGTGATTTTAATGGATGTTTTTTATGTGTTTTTATCCCCAGGTTTCAGGAGCAAATTTTTATTCAACTCCAAGAGTATCCAAGAATGGCACAATGGCTTGGGTACAGTGGAATCACCCAAATATGGTAAGATTAATTAGAGAAGAAATGCACAAGACTTTCAGTGCATCCAGTGTTACACATTGACCCAGTAATTTGGTCTGAGCCATTATTGGGAAGACAAAATTTATGACCTCATTCTGTCAGGCCAGTGGAGACCAACAGGTTTTCAAGAACCACAGAGAATAGGGAGCAAGAGTGTTAGGATTGACAGGAGAGTAAAAAGCACTGAAGAGGAAGAGAGGGTGGTTCGCTTGAGGGAAATACAAAAATGTCAAAATCTGTCATTTGATAATCTTCAGTATTTTCTAAACAAGGGAGTTAGGAATAACAAATTTAGGAAGTAGGAGATTGGGAAAGATTTTCTGAACTAAGTGAGATTTTTTTTTATTTAAAGCCATGGGATGACACTGAGCTTTGGCTGGCAGAAATATCATCGGATGGAGATTCACTAAAGGAAGACAGCAAACGAAAGGTAGGCACACTGTTGAAAATCTCAAAGTTGTTACTCAAATCCTAGGGCCACTTATTTACACAAGGTCTGACCCAACCATGGTTTTACCCAATCAGTGGGCCTAAGGCCTTCTCCACATGACCGTTGATTTAGTTAAATAAATGTCCCTACACTGTTAGGTTTGGGCCCTCTTGACGCTGTTCAAAAAAATATTAATGGCTTCGATGAAAGGGTCAACTAAATGGGGGATTGTTTAGGATGCAGTTTTGAAATCTAGAGATGAAACACAATGATGTAATTGAAGGTCTTCAACTTGTTAGCTTCTTTTTTTCTCTTTTTATAATACTGATTGTCCTTATCTCTTTGTTGTCTGTATATTTAGGTAGCAGGGGGAGTTGGTATCAGCGTCATGCTTCCCAAGTGGTCCCCAGATGACAAGCTCCTTTACATCAACGACAAAACGAACTGGTGGAATCTTTATCAGTTAGATGATGATGACAAGGCAACCAGTTTGTGTCCAAGGAAGGAAGAGATTGGTCAGCCAGCGTGGGAGTTTGGAGGGAGTCCGTATTCCTGCAATCCCACTGGCAATGGTGATATTCTCATGATTCATGGCTCGGTATGACTCTTTTAATCACAGATAACAATTATTTTTTTCAAATGGCTGCTCCTTCAAAATGACTAACAAATTGTCTGAAGAGGCAAAGTTGTTTGATATACCAAGTTGAATCCTTTAGGTGTTTGGAGATATGTTGATTGGTTTCCCATTTGGCTGTTGACTGCATTTGGCTACTCTTCATTTACTTTTGCTCTCATGAAAAGCTAACAATCAAAACATAAGGGATAGAAACTCTATGGTGGCCAATTTCTGTTATCAACTCAAGTGATAAAACCAAATCATCTCCTTACATGAGTCAAGTAAACTAAGGCCTGCTCAGCACTGCGCCCAAGCCATTGTGCCATTCTTAGATACTCTTGGAGTTCAATAAAAATTTGCTCCTGAAACTTGCAAATAAAAACAATTAAAAAAATATCAATCATAATCACAAAACACATGCTTGTCAACCTGACTTTGCAAAGTAGATAATTGTCAAATGAATATTAGAGACCTATGGATTCTAAGACAAGTATAAGTACCAAATTCTCAGAACTATCATCATCAGAATTGTATGGCAGACAGTAAGGAGAATTGATAATGAGATCTTGGGCAATAAAGGTTTAAATGAAAGTGCAAAAAGTCAGGCGCTCTACATAGAATACTTTTTTTTGCCTTTTCCAAAGACTCCTGATAGAATTCAAAATAGAGACAATCAAAAAGTAGTAACAATGTCTTGCATGAAAGTATTAATAATGAAATATCTGAAACAACAACTCAAAGCTGTTCTTCTGGAAATGATTATTCATATTTTGCCTTACATTGTTTTATATGTGTGTGTGCAGGAGCTGGCATGCCTCAAACCCTCTGGTGAAAAGCAGGATATTAAAATTAAAGAGGATGATTACAAAGCTTTTGCCAAGCTGGAATACTCTCCAGATGGAAAGTACGCATACATGGTGGCAGGTGGACCACAGACGTTTGCAAAGCTTATAAAATTGGACCTGAAGTCTGGAAAATCATCAGTTATCCGTGAATCTCACGGTGCTCTGGATATTGATGGGTACATTAGTGTTCCTCAAGAAGTGAGCTGGGATACACGTGATGGTGCAAAGGCCTATGGATATTACTACCCCCCTCAGGTAGGTCTGTGCTTCTAAGGGGTACCTGGAATGTTTAGGGTGATGTTATGTACAGATCAAGTTTGTCGTTAGGTTTTCAGATCTTTACTTTCATGATCTTTGTTAGGTTCTTAGCTGTTTTTCCTTTGACAATTTCCAATATGACTTAGTTACAAGTTGAGGGTTTGAAACAATGAATGATTTTTCTTACTGTCTTTATTGCAAAGTGCTAATCCTGATCATCTTACAAAAAACAACATCCCATGCCTCACACCTAAGTATGCAAAGAACATAACACCACTCTGCTGAAGCAAACCAATTCAAGCACCTTTCTTTTAGATTGACCCTTTACACCTTAACTTTTATCAGTATTCATAATTATTCTCCATACTGGTCTCTAAACATTTCCTAAGGTGCTGACAAGGCGATTTTTTTTACAAATAATTTAGAGCTTCTTTAGTTGGTTATCATTGCCTTTATTCTCTCCACCTTAATGTTTGATTCAGGGGTGATGTTGTTTGGAGAATTTAAATGCCAGTCACTCTTAAGGATCAAAGGGTTAAATATGGTAAACTCATCAGTTGCATTCCTTACATGAGAGGCATGGCCTCATTTGCAGCAAGTTAAGCCAGTAGTGCAAATGCTACTGAACACTTCCTAACAAACAATAGGATGATCACTATGTACAGATCAGGTATTTTTCATGCATTGTGTTATAAAACTTTTCAGAACAAGGATTATCAAGGGCCAGATGATGAGACACCTCCACTGCTTGTCAAGGTTCATGGGGGACCCACCAGTGCTTGTTCACCAGTGCTTGATCTCAACAAACAATTTGTTACATCCCGAGGCTTTGCAGTGTTGGATGTCAACTACCGTGGCAGTACAGGATTTGGCAGAAAATTCAGGGATGCTCTTAAGACAAAGTGAGTGCACAAACCAGAGTTATCATTAACCCTTGTATTCTGAAGATCTCATTAGTAATTCTCCCAATTGTCTGCCATAAATTACTTATGATTTCAATTTGGAGAAGTTATAATTAGATCAACTTGAGTTTCTTCTTTATTTTCCTCACTTGTCTACTTGATTCTGTGTTGATATTGTAAGGAGAAATTCTGTCCTGGTCTCTCATGGGGGTTTAAGGGTTAAAAGCTGGTACTGCTGGCCAAAAGAGGCTTGGTTTCATTCATCTCATTTTCCTATAAGTAGTGATGAAAAATCATATAATTATTGAAATACCTTTGAAACGATTTGTACAGCAGTCAGTTCTCCATTTTGAGATGAATTGAATGCATGATAGACAGGGTTAGATGTTTGATTCCATCCCGTCTTGAATTGGCTTAAAAGATTGTATGAACTTTGCCGAACATGTGGGATGATCTTTGGCAAAATTTTTCAATGATGCTTGGAAAATTAATGGCAGCAGGAATGACCCAGCACACTAGGTGGGTGTGCAATAATAGAGCTCAGGAAAATGTTAATTGGGGATTTATCATGTCATGATATAATCCCCAATTAACATTTTCCTAATCAACAAATTAAACATTTTTCTTAAAATTATGGGTTAATCTGCTAGACACTGACTCACCAATACTATTATATCTTTTTGTTAACCCTAAGTGCGCACAATCAAAGAACAGTCCAAGTTAACCTTTATGTGAATAACCAAGTGAAAAACATCAGTTGGAAATCTGTCATACTTCCTAAGTTAAGCAGAACAGCACCAAAGGCTTATGACTTCTTCAGATTTTGTGGATCCACACCAATTACAGATTGAGTTGTGTGTCAGTTCAGATTGCTAAATTCCCTGGTTACAAAACAGTCAAGTTTAAAACTGCTTTCAAGAACAACAGATGTATATTGGTAAACACTAATGCATAATCCTGAAGTAAATTAACACTTTTGAAGTAAGAAATTCACTTTTTTCAAATATAAGTCACAAAAATACATTTTGGTATTCAGAAACAATTTTAAAAGTAATTCATATGGATTCCATCACAGCTGGGGACTGATAGATGTTCAAGACTGCTGTGATGGTGCACTGTATCTGGCTAAAGAAGGCAAAGTTGATGGCAAAAGGCTTACAATTGATGGTGGCTCAGCAGGGGGCTTTGTTGCATTATCTGCCTTAACATTTCATAAAGATTTCAGTGCAGGAACAAGCAATTATGGAGTATCTGACATCTCAGCCCTTGCAGAAAATACGCACAAGTTTGAAAGTCACTACACTGAAACACTTGTTGGCCCATATCCTGAAGATAAGGCAACATATGAGGAGAGGTCACCAGTATATCATGCTAGTGAGTGCAAGGCTGCTCTGGCAATGTTTCAAGGCTCTGAGGACAAGGTGAGCTTTTTATGAGTATTTCTTCACAATCAGACTTTCTTGAGCTGGTGACAACTGTGAACTAGCTACTAGCAATTTCCTACATTACGTAAAAAAACTGCCAGCTGGTGCCCTTTCAGGAAAAAGGCTGTGATCACTAGAAATTAGATATAAGGCACCTGATTTACTAGGAAAGGACAAAAAAATTCTCTTGTACCAGTTTAGGGTCACTTAAATGAAATCATTGTAAGTGGAAGTAATTTCAGTGTTAAAAAGTTTTTCATAAACTCTGATAGATTATGAAAATATTTTTCCAGTAAAATAAAGATTTAACCAATCCTAAAAGTAGAGCTCCAATCAGTTCAGATTCTACTAACCTTCATTATGTGAGTTTATCAGTAAATAGAGGAATTAAGTAAGAAGATTGGATACTAATCCACTGTAAGGTCACTCTTAGCATTTCATCAGGCTTCCCTGACAGTTTGCCAGCACTCATTTACACTCCTGTGTGAAAAGAGGCATTGTGAGAGTAAAATGATTGTCCAAGAACACAACACACAAGTGGCAATGTTGAAAGTCAAGTGGGGCTCACACTAAAACCTTCAAATCTGCAGTCCATAGTGCTAGCTGTCACTCTGACTAGCAGGTGTTATCCTAAAATTTCTATGAGATTGTGAGATATGAGAAAGGTTTAGTTCTTTCATTTGTTTATTGTTCTTTAGATCGTCCCACCTGAACAGTCAGAAAAGATGTATGATGCAGTCAAGCATAATGGAGTCCCTGTGGCATACAAAGTTTTTGAAGGTAGTGTGTTTATTATGTCACTGTTGACTGAAAAGTGTTTACAGAGTTAACCATGCATGCACTGAGTTTGAGTGAGCTATTTGGTGCTGTGCCTGTTCTTTTAAAAAGAGAAACAGATTCAGCTTGCTGCTCCTGAAATAAATTTGTTTAAGAGTGCTCATAGGGAGTTTGAAAAATTGTAGAACAAGACACAAGATTATGCCCTTTATAGCACAGAAACTACCAAGATTAAACTCTCTGAAATGAAACTCTCATTTCAATTCTCACTTTTCTAACCATAACAGTGGAAAGAAGTTTACTTGCCTAGATTAATTGTTGATGGAAGAGATTAATAATTAACACTAACTGACTCATGCAAGTTAGATGAGTATGACATTCCCCTCCCCCCCCTCCCCCTCCTGCCATGAGTGGACTGAATGAGACAAATTCCTCTGCACTGAGGGGAAGAAAAAACAATTTTCCGACCTTATTGTTCATTCAACCTTAATCATTGATGAAATCTTTTATTCTTTTTTCAAGGTGAACAACATGGTTTTCGCAAAGCAGAAAACATTAAATTCTCTATTGACGGAGAATTCTACTTCTACTCCAAAGTTTTCAATTTTGATGCACCTGGCATTCAAGTGGATGTGAGTAGCTTTAACATTTTACATCACATGAATGATTATTTATGGTGATGTTTTGCATTAGTAAGAAGAGGATGATTTGGCTGTTACTTATTGTAAGCACCATTGGCCAGTTACATTCCATCTTAATTTTATTTCATAAATTTGTTGTATCTGCAGCTCGAGATTGAAAACTTACCTGAAGAAGAAAGTTAAGATTGTGATGTGAAGGTGTGCTCAGGAAGAAGGATTTATCTGGATAACACTGATTTTGATGATATGAGGGGTAGAATAAAAGGTTTAGATGCCAATCTGAAAGCAGCAGTGGTATTGTTGGGTTTTCTTTTCTGCATTTGTTTGTAACTTTTTCAAATGCAAGATTTGTTAGAGGTCAAACTTTTGAATTCTATTTGGAACTTTCTTATTAAATTCTAGCTTTTCTACTATTGATAATGTAGATGACTTTATTAGTCCAAAAAGTGTGTTACGTAAAACACATTTAACAGTAGCATTATGTGCTATTAACAACATAAGTTTTCAAAAACTATTGACATGTTTTGTACAGTTACTGAAGGTTGCAATAAAATTTAAAAATAAAGGTAGTGAGTGACCTTTATTTATTTTGCACAACCGCATCAGAAGTTGAGGATACATAGTTGTGGAATTCATAGAGTAAATCCTTGAAAGAACACTACAGAGCACTTCTATTTCAACTTTGGCTAAAGCAAAAGAGGAGCTTTTTGAAAAGTTTTGCTAAGAGGAGGAGGCACTCTGAAATCTAAGTGTTATTTTTACAAGCAGTGTCTTCCATTTTAATTGATTTAGTGATGATTGCAGTTATTCAAAGTCTCCTAAGAATTGATCTGAAACTTTACAATGTCCTAGCTACCACTGGATTCAAGTTAAATTTAATGAAATCTTTAGACATTGAAAATAATCACAGTTTTATTTCTATCAGCTGAAACAATATAAACTCTGCACTCTCATTCTTGACAACATGAACTAGTAAAGGGAAAAATGATGTTAACCAAACCCCATCTGCTAAATATTTTTTCTTTTCATTAAAAATAAGTAAATTCTATTTTATACACATTTAAATAACACTTTCCTCTTTAAAAAATCATCTCAGTCTGTAATCTCCATGTTTTCTTGAAAGGTCTTTTGATAGCTGTGATGATTGTTGATGTAGAATAATTTTCTAAATTGTCAATTCTTGTAAGTTCTAAAAAACATTTTAGGAATGGCTGACTGGTTTGAAATAAGTCAAAATGCTCTTTCCTGGCTTGGAATTATCTTCTCTCTGACAAGATAACCAAAAGACAAGAGGTGATAAATTGTTTTTCCTCACAAGAGTGATCAAAGTAGCTCACTTAATAGAGATAAATTTTATCCTCTAAAAGTAAAGACTCAAAACACATCATCAGTCAAGGAGAAATATATTTACCCTAGGCTCAAGTGAGACCCATTAGATTGAGAGATAGGCACACCACCATGTTACATACTCCCTCTATAAATCATAAATTAAATTATGAATAAATGTTTATCTTTTGCTTAACCCTTAATAGCCCAGCATCATTATGTTCATTCTCTATACTGTTATCTGAACATTTCCCATGATACTGACAAGAGAATTCATACATCAATCTGGAGCTTTTTTTGGTTGATGATTATTTCCTTCATTCCCATTACCTCAATGTTTAATTCAGTTGAGCTGCTTTAAGGAGAAATTTGATGCTAGTCACCACTTTGGGTTAAAAAGTTAAGAACATTTCGAAGAGAGACATAGTTAACATCTTACCTGTGGTTGTAAACCATAGGCTTGTGATTCTTCATCAGAAACTGTGGTTATGATTGAATCTGTGTTTTCAACAAAGTTTTCGCCTCCCTTCTCAGGCAGTGGAATACTCTTCTCACCATTCTCTTCTCGACTACGATTGCTCCACTGTGTTAGCCAGTTTGCAGAATGAGCTTTCGCAGTAACCTTTTGTTCAGAAGTTGCTTCTGATTTTTGGTGACAATTAAAATCAAGTTCCAGTTTGGTAAATTTAGCCTCACCAGGAGAACTGTTGTTAATTAGTTTGTTTTCCTTATCAGGGTTTAAACTTGATTTATTCCAATTTCTAATTCCCACATGGCCTGCATTTGAATTTAAGGGATCACTGATGCATAATCTTTTCCTGAGAGGCAACACTGAAACATTCTTTTGTCCATTGAAATGAGTATTTTCAGTTTTATCTTCAGTCCTGTATTCTTGTCTTTTATTTTTGGCAGTTTGGTTTGGTTGTTTGACATCTTGTAAAGAATTAACAGCTTTCTGTGTCATGTCAGAGCATTTCTGAGTTGTAACAGACTGGATCTGGTGATTTAATTGGTCATCACTGTCACTGTGAGATCGCTTTCTTGAATTTGATTTTAACCAGGATGTCAGCAATTGAGTTGGGCTGTGAAACTTTGAGGCAGCAGGTGACTTAGGGCTGGAGCAGGGTGATGACTGGGATCCAGAAGAGGAGGGAAAGGAGACAGAGGAAGGCACTATCTGAGAATCTGAGTTCTTATTAGGAACCATGTGAGGTGATGGACCTGAGGAAAAAATACAATCAATTTTCATTGTTTTGGGATATAACTGAAATTACAATGATGTGTGAAAGACATTTCAAAAAGTTTGGCTAATAATGTCAGTTTCTTCTTTTGCATAAGTTTCCTTCTTGTCCTCCTTGGTCCATATACAGTTTTATTCTTGTTCCTTTGGTTTCTCTCTCCCTTGAAAAACTGTTATTTCAACATTTTAATCCATTTTAAGACAAAATATATGAGTTGGAACTTTTCTAAAGTTAGTGTTATGATAATGATATCAAAGTTTCTCAACTTTTGGTGACCTATTTTAAGGACCTAAATATAGTAATATTGGTTTGTAAATGATGTGAAAATAATTATTCAGTGGTAGCATTTCTCGCTTTGTTTTGTCAGAAAAACAATTTTCATTTATTTTCCACGCCTTTCTATGTCCCACACTCAAATTCCATAACCCTCTACAGCTGGAAAAGGACACCAAAATTTCCATGACCATCCAAGTTTTCCATTATCTGTACAGACCCAACTGTATATGATTCACTTCACATTAATGACTCAAAATGTTGTAAGCAATACTAGCAGCAACTTTTAATACAAATGTTATAGAGAATACCTGTTGTCAGGTTTTGCAAACTTGTAGAAAGCTTTGGAGACAAAGATTGCATTTGAAGATTTTGTGTCTTTTGCGAGCTTATTTTATGGGAGCTCTGCAATTTGGGAGACACCTTTCCAACAGGACTGGAGATTTTATTTAATCTTGGATTGGTGATGACTTTTGATAGTGGGGTCCAGAGTAATCTCTTTGAATCAGGGCTGTTGTTGGGAGAAGGACTTGGTGTTCTATAAAATCTTGATGGACTTGAAGCTTCTGCAAGGTGCATAATCATGAAAGTGAGAGAAGAATTCAATAAAACTGTTTCAAGATTAAGCTACATTTTGCAATGAAGAAATGTAAAATGGTTTCCGTGTTTACATAGCCTGATGTAAACACACGGGAGGTTGGGAGAACACGAGATAAGTGTAGGAAACCACGATGCGAAGCAGAATGGTTTCCAGCTTATCGAGTGTTCTCCCAACCTCCCAAGTGTTTACATCAGGCTATGTAAACATGGAAACCATTTTACATTTCTTTTATAAAATAACTAATGAAAGAGGAACGAAAACCGTGTTTACATACGCTCATGTAAAATGGTTTTATGGCCAATCAGAGTGCACATACTATTTGAATTAATTTATAATGGATGATATAGACCAAAGACATAGTGCGGTCACATACTCAACATTAAACGTTTCAGTTTTGTTGTTTTTCCTTACCATTGATGGGAGAATGAGATCCTGTGCCAGTTCCTCTACAGCTCTCACCAATGACATCATGTTTATCACTGTTATTTGTTCTGCAATCCATTCTCCTTTAGATTCAGGGATCAAATGATCATGTAATGCAGTGAGATGAGTTTCAAAATATGAATTGAAAATAAACATTTCATTCCTCTTGCAGAAAAGTGTAATAGCTACTTTTTAGCTTTGGGGATAAGGCAATTTTTCTGTTGTTTGTTCTGTTTTTGTCTTGAGGGGAAACAAGAGAAAACCTTCTGGTTCTAAGAAATTCTAAATCAAAGTTCAAACTTAACAAGAGTGTATTGGAGTTGTACTGTGCTTTCCACTCTTAGCTTGTTGTGAGCATGAATTTCCAGATTGTCTGTGAACTTGACACTTACCATATTCTAAAGCTGTTATCATCTGAACAAGTTATAACCTGTGGAGGCAAAGAAAAGAAATTCAGCCAAAATAAGAGAAATGTTGGGTTTACATTCCTTAACTATCTATGTAAAGGAGGCCTCAATTTCAGATAAACACTCATTTTGCAAAAATATCAACTACAGATTTCATGTCCAACTTATTTGCTTGAAAAATCCTTTATGTTAAATTTAATTTCTAACTTTACTGTTATGTTTTAAATAGATTATATTCTTATCCATTTTTTTTATTGTCCAGCAACTACACACCTTTCCCTGATCGGATGGACACCATGCAACACTTGTCACCTCTCCAAGGTGTCCCTTGAGCAGGGTGGGTGGGGCAGTAGGGTCTGACACCCTCCATATGAAGGCATCATTGTCACTTGATCCACTGAGTAAGTACATGTCATCAAGACTGAGAGCTACTTTGACGTAAAAAGTGGAGTTCTTGTGACCTGTGAAAGTACACACAGGCTCCTGACCTAATGCAGTGCAGCTATACATGTAGATTTTGTCATCTGTACAGCTTGCAAATAAGGATGAGTGGTTGGAGTCCAAGACAAGCGATGAAAAACCTGGAATTATAACAGTCTTTTAAAATAAAAGTGTTATAGATCAAATAACTAGAAAATAAAGAGTCATGTCAACAACAACCACAACAAATCTCCATCTGTTCTCAAAAAGAGTACTTGGTCTTACAGTGAAATAACAAGAAACATAGCCTGATCATTACTGAGTCTAGCTGAAGAAACCATGAGGTTTGCGAGCTAGCTGCTTCCCATTTAAAAAAAAAAAAGCAACAGGAGACAAAAATCAGACTTAATAGACAATGTAGTATTACTACACAAGACAGATTCTAGAATTTCTATTTAAACTACTTTTGGTGTTGTTCTGACAGCAACAAAGGATTGAGTGGATGACTAAGGACAAAGGCCTTTTGCCCCAAAAGCAACAAATGTTTCACTTCTTTGGCAAAAGCGAAAGTATCTTGCAGAGATGACATTAATGCTAAACATGGCTCTATGGTTTTTGGTTACAAGCAACTTACCATGTTTTCTCCTGACTCCTTGCTCTGGGTAAGGAAAAGTGTGAAAAGGAAGTGGGTCTGCTTTGAGATTGGTATAGGTTTTACGCAGGTCCCAGATCTTGATACTACCATCCATTGCTCCAGCTGATATGAGTTTCTCCCCTCCTTGGAATAGCACTGCTGTTACACTTTGCTGGCCAGAATTCTGTGAGCACATGATTTTAATTAAGAAATTTATAAGCAGGAAGGTAGTTTGAAATAATAGTGGAATATTCTACAGAATAGCTTCACACTTGAATTAAAAAAAAAATCAGGCCTTCAAACTTAGTTGCAGAATTATGGGTATAGGTAAGAATTCTCTAAGCTCTGATGCTTAATGTGCACTTGATAATGAGACAACTGACAAACCATTTGTTTGTCCACACAACTACTTTGCACAATAGACCAACAAACACCACTGTTATATCAAGTCATCTTTACCATAACTGGTCGCGAAGAGGTTGACCTTCTGGATTTCTTTTTCATTGTTTGTGGTGTCCCAGGGAGTTTCTCTGCATGTGCATTGCTTATTATATTAACAGGTTGACTGAAGTGTCCTGAGCGACGATTACATCTCATGTCCCATACCATCACATTGCCGTCTCTTGCACCTGAGGCAAAGACAACTGAGGAAGGAAAAAATGACTTTGTTAATTCTATTTACAAGTTTACTAGTACTTTTGATAGCTATCTGTGAAGACCTGAGATGGTTTTACAGGCAAAATAGTGGGCTAGATTCTACTCTTTGGATTCTAACAAAAACCAATCACTATCAACAGCAAAATTGCAAGACTAATTGCTCAAATCTTGGAGTCACAGTCAGTTGTACAGTGTAATAATCCTGTATCAGTTACATTGCAAGAACCTGACTAGATGTCTTCACTTGCGTCAAACGATGCTGAATTGCTCAAATATCAGCATATTGCTGCCAGTATTCAGGCAGTAACTAGTAAAAATTTACACCTGTAGTACTTCTTACTGCCACCTAAAATTGCTTGGAATGTTGAAAGTTCAATGGGTGGTAGGTTTGCTCAACCAATTTGAAAATTTCTTTTACATGCTTAAATTAAGGGAGAACACTGTGTAATGGATATCACTAAATTTGTTTTCAATACAACTCTTGCATGAACCATCCCACCAGTTTATTGACTGCTACAGTAACAATAACTTACAGATGTCATCTTCTCTGAAGTCCACAGATTTCACGCTACAAGTGTGCCCCTTGAACACTGCCAAGCAGTCATCGCGGTTGACATCCCAAAGTCTCACTGTCTGGTCACCAGATGCTGTAACCTGTTGAAATTCATCAGCACACTCATTACAATAATTTAATTTCATATCTGTGAAAGAAAAATTATTCAATCAGTTGTAAAGTAGCAGAATTATTTACCAAAAAGAAAACAGAAATCTTCAACATTGGACACAGAATTAATTGTCAGGTCTGTAATATAATCTCCATCATCAAGCAAAAGTAACACAGCTACAGGATAATTTGATTTTATCAACTGAGTTGAAAATTTAAATAGGCCATCGTAAGTAATTTCTAAGGCTTTTGCTTTTTTCTTTGGAGCATTAGCTCTTGGTCAGAGGGAAGAAATGTCAGCTTTAAAAACTCTTTACAGTGGCCAATTTACATTATAAACCCAGTTAAAAAAATCAAATTATCTTGTATTACCCCCCACTGATGCAGCAACACAGTCTCTATAGAAACTAAACCCCCCTTAAAACAGCAACAGTTTTATTAAAACAAAAAAAAAATTCTCCATAACTATTGGTTCAATAGTCAGCTGCCAGAGTGGAGGAAATGAAATTATTTGCTAATAAATATTGCAGATCAATATCAGTATCTGGGTAACCGCCCACCTACCCCTCCCTTAACTCAACAACAGTCAATTGATAACAAGTTAGGGTTAATTTTGGGTCAGGGGAGGGGTAGGTGGGCAGTTGCCCAGATACTGATATTGATCCAATATTGCTAACTTAATTTTTTGAAACACCCATGAATAATGACGTTCAATCTTCTGATGTCTCCTTATGGCTTTTGAAATAATTTTTCTCCAATTTACATCTTACCATATATTGCTCCCAGTGCATCCATGCAATATCAAACACTGCATTCTCATGAGCATTCCATTCTGAAATTTTTAAAAATTTCAATTGAATATTATTCCCAGTCTTGGGTCCTCAAGAGAAATGAATGAACATATAGAATCTGCAATGGATAATTTTATGCTCATACCTTTTATGAGTGATTTTGGAGATGTTCTCCTTGAATCCAGTATTTGAACCCAACCTTCTTCATCAGCAATCCCCAACATATGTCCACCGAGACCAGCTTGCAATGATAAAATACATTTTAAAAATATTGATATGATAAGCTGTTTGAGTTACCAGATTGCCAGCCAAAAACGAAAGAAACGGACAGTCTTTAGCTGGAGAAAACTTACCACGACTAAAACGACATGCAAATGGTGGTACATCGATCTGCAATTGCAAAACAAAGCGAAGCTCAGAGATTATTTTTGATTTTGTGTTGTACACACGATCAAATTTAAAGTTTTATGGTGAGCAAAACGAGTTCTAAATAAATAGATCATGGAGGTAATTTTTCCATACACCTACCTCTCTTCTTTGGACGAGATATTCATCATCTCTAACACAACTGAACGTTTTTAACGCGAAGTCAAAAGGAAAAGCTGAAATATTCAAAGAGGAAGTTGTTCGCTTTGTGTACTAGTCAACTACACGATTTGTTTTGAAAACACACGATAATAATCCGTCATTTTCGCACTCACCCCTCTTCAGCGGACTAGGAACAAGTTGTCTATGGAAAATTGAATCAAGAAGAGTCATATTTTGTCAGTATTCGTCATGAATATAAACCCACGTTGAAATTTATCACGGCAGCAGAAAGAAGGAGTCTTCCCGCGAAATCAAAAGTGCGCGGGAAGGTTTCAACACTGGCCTCTGATTGGTTTGTTATTCGCGGAAAGATCCCAGCATGCTCTTCTATAGCATCGCCAACGTGGATTTGTGGGATATGTGATTCCAACATGGCGTCCTTACTAAGCTTTGGAACTTTCACAAACATTGGAGAAAAATCTTCCAATAGTTCTGACAGCTGGCAAGATGCGAACAGTGCATTGTCAGAGCTTGATAAAGGTAATAAATGCTACTTTGCAGACAAGCTTTATTCCCAATATCCCAAAATTTATAAACCGTAACACCAGTCTGCAAGCTGTCGTAAGTCTCACTCAAGTGTCGACAACAGGGATGATTTTATTTTCATTTTAGGACTGCGATCAAGTAAAGCTGGAGAACAGTGTGAGGCAATAGTCAGATTCCCTGGGTTATTTGAGAAATATCCCTTCCCAATTTTAATCAATTCTGCTCTGCTAAAGCTGGCTGATGTCTTTCGTATCGGGTAAAGAGATTATTTTTATGTCAATTATGTGTAATTTGATCGATGTTTCATGTGAAAGAAAAGGGAATTGAGCACATCTGTTTCTTCGCATTCTGCTAAAAATCAAATAAAAACGTATATTCCATGCCTATGTTTCTCCTTTTTTTCGCAGGAGTAATTTTTTGCGGCTTTGCATTCTGAAGGTTATTCAACAAAGTGAAAAACACCTGGATAAGATTTTGAATGTGGATGAATTCTTGAAGCGAATTTACTCTGTTATTCATTCAAATGATCCAGTGGCAAGAGCCATCACTGTCAGGTGAATTGAAAAAGGATTGTTTATTCATTGAACAGATTATAGGTTATTAGTGGAATGGGTTCTTCAGCTGCATATAGAGGCAACAAAATGATTTTTATGATCATGTGACATGATCGTGCAAGTGAGAGTAGCCTTGTAAATGAATGTTGTTTGAGGTAATTGGAGACACTTTTGATAAACTCAGCAGAGGTCATGGTCAGAGCCATAAAAAAAAATTCATACTCTCAAAATGACTTTTGAGGGCATGAAGGTTTCAATTCTCATCCCATGTCTGTTGAAAGTTGATTCAGTGTAATAAAGAATATTGTATTGCATTTGTTACTTATTTCAACATATTGCTTCTTTAGAGTTCTTGGTAGTATTGCTTGTATCGTCTCTGAAAGAAAGAATGTCCACCACAGGTAAACAATGTTTGACTGTAATACTTAGCAGTGTTTTCTCCACTTTAACCTTTTGATCCCTATGGGTGACTAGCTTCTAAAATCTCTTTACAATATATCCTCTGAATCAAACATGAAGGTCACGAGAATAAAGGAAATGATCACCAACTGAAGAAGCTCTTGATTGTTAAACAAATTATCCTTGTCAGCACCTTAGGAAATATACAGAGAGCAGTGTGGAGAATATTTGTACTGATGTTGAGGTGTAAAGGGTTCGATGATTGATTCTAATAAGAACACTCAGGTTGAAGTTAACATAAGTAGTGGATTTAATAGAGACAGTTTTTTTTTTTGTTCAAATTGTTGAACTGAATATGAAAACCTCCTCTTTGTCACATTGTAGCATAAGAAGCAGCTTGGAATCACATGATCAGGTGGAATTAGAGGCTGCAATTTTTGCAACAGACAGGCTTTGTGCACAGTCCAGGTGATAAATGTCTATAGAGGTCATAAAAAATTAAGGATTAGTCCTGACAACTCAATTTATGGTTGACATGTAGCTGTAACAACTCAATTCATTTTGTGAAAATCTTTGTCCAAGTCATATAGTACGGGTAATTTTGCAGTGTCAATTAGTTTTTGTGTTTTTGGTGAGAAAATGAGTGGACTGTTTCACTGAGTGAGTAAATTTGTTCTGCTCTTGGCAACCCTTGTTGAAGATTATGACTAAGGCCTTCTAATGCTTTGTTATCTTACAATTACATGTCTGACTCTTTCTCTTTTTTTTGTTACTGACAGAGAATTTGCCTCTGGTCTCTACAACAAAATAGCACAGCTTATTGAAGGTAAGTTGAGAGTGTGTTTGTACAGATGCTTGACAATATTATGTACTTGTGAGGGCCATAATGCACTTATTTACTTTATTGTTTTCCTGTTAGGGTTGTAATGTGGTTATTGACATTATTATTTCTCTTTTAGGACTGAATACTCCTGTGGAGATGAAGCTGAAGTTAATATCTATTTTCAGACATATGCATTATGACTTACAGCTGACTGCAAAGGTAAACTGAAATTTAACTGAAATATCAGATATCATCTCTTATTTCCTAGCAAAAATTCTCTTGGTTAATGGTGTTTGAAGCATGATCACAGTGACATCACATTTAAGCACTGTGGCAATAAATAGTTTTTATGTACTGCTTATCAAATATGGTTTGAAAAAATACTCATCTGTGTAATACAGGACTAAACCCTTTCACCCCTAAGAGTGACCAGCATCTAATTTCTCTCACAAAATCACTTCTGAATCTGACTTTGAGGTCATGAGAATAACAGAAACGACCAAGAACTAAAGAATCTCTTAACTGTTACTCAAATTCTTCCTTGTCAGCAACTTAGGAAATTTTTAAAGAACAGTACAAAGAATATGCAACATGATGTTAGGGTGTAAAGGACTCAAAAGATTGATTTTTTTTTGTGGTCTTCTTCTCTACAGGTCCATGAATTATGTTCCTCTCTTCTTGCTTCTCATCCCACATGCCAGTTTGTTGTTGTCACCTTACACACCTTATCTTGTCTTGCTGTATCATCAGTGATTGACATCCCTAAACAGGTAAGACTGGCTTGTTACTTAACCTGGTCGAATCACTGAACCGATGAACACATGACTTCTCCATGCCTAGTCAATACACTATTCAGGGAACTCTTCTTGAGAGTATAAAAACCAATCAGGGGAAGCATATCATCTCAATGTAAAATACTCTGACTTTTCATAAAATACAAGGAAAATGTAGCAGCTAGAGGAAACAATTTAAAGTTCATAGAATTTTTGAGCTTTTTTTGGTTAACAAAGTTTTATCCATTTTTATCTCTGTTGAAATGATGAGAAAAGAAGCCAAGTTCTAAAGACTGAAACGAATAAGTATATGAAGTTCTTAAAAATTATCTTGCAGACTGAGTTGTTACTGAAGTACCTAACACAAGATCCTAGAAAAGTAGTTAAGAACCACACCCTTTCAGATTTAAGGATGCTAGCCAAGGGGGCACCACACATGTGGAGAATCCAGGACATCGAGGTACTGTGATACCTAAGATCTCAAATCCTTCACTTTGTTTTGACAAGAAACTAAAATTTGAAGTTGTCAGCTTTATAGTAATTTGCTAAGTCGAATGGTTATGTTAAATTGAAGTGTCAACTTCACTGCAATAATCCTGTCACTCTTTCATGTGCATGCCATCATAGCAGTCAACAGTCTCCATTAGAAAACAATTACTTTTATTAATTTATCTTTAAATTTTAGGCTACTTACTGTGATGTTTGATTGCTTTAAAGTCAAGATGAATTTCAACTGAACATACGTGAAACAGTTACAGTAGCAAGACCAAAAAAACTAAAAAAAAAATTGAAAAATGACCATACTAGTAGTTTTCTGTGAGACAAGCCAAAGTCAAGGATTTCATTTCTAAATCTTCATTCAATCCATTTGTTAACATTTTTTTCTTGTTCTATCCAGGCTCTCTCTGAATTTATTTTGAGTAGCTGTTATGATAACCTTACATTTTCTGCATTGAGGACAATGGTAACTCTATCAAGATCAGAGGCTGTAGATCTGCTCAAGAGTGAAAAAGGTAAATTTGGTGACTTTAACCCTCTCACTCTTAAGATCTGATTGTCAATTCTCCCCACTAGTGGCTACAAATTCACTTGTAAATTAGTTAGGACAATTTGGTGTTAAATCAAAATAACAACTTCTACCTGATAAGTTCAAGTATTATCATTACCTGTTTGTTTGATATTATAAAGTAATTTCCAACATTTGAGTGACATGGGAACGAATTAGTCAGAAGTTAATATTCTGATGGCACTTTGAGGAAGAATACATTTCCACTCATTTTTTGGTCACATCTAAGGAGTGGTTTTTAAGTGGTTTTTCGAATCTGGTGTAGCACAAGTTCTTTTTGTAGAACCACTAGTTTCAGGGTGCACATGTTAAGGCTGTATCAGGATGTGTATACTGGAAGACTGACTGACTCATCTTAACTAACTTTCGTGTAGTCAGAATTGGATGTCATAAAGAGAAATTACATGTTTATTACTTCTGGGAGTTAAAGGGTTAATATTTTATTTAAGCTTTGATTTTAATAATTCAGCAATACTTTAGATTAGAGAATAAAGGAAATGATCACCAATTTAAAGAAGTTCTTGATTGTTAAACAAATTCTCCTTGTCAGCACCTTAGGAAACGTACAGAGAACATTATGGAGAATTTGGATACTGATGTTAGGATGTAAAGGGTTGAAGTGCTATGTTGATGAAAATTTTTCTTTTCTCTGTTCCTGACTTTTCAGTCCTTGAAATCTGCCAGAAAGAAACAAATTCCTATAACTCTACTATAGCAGCCTTAGCATCAGAACTCCTTGTCAACATTGCTGTGGCAGGAATTAAGTCTGGTTTGTTTTAGAACTTTTTTCCTTTTTGTTCTATCTAACTCATGTTTGCATATAACAAGAGGGTGTTTTTACATTTGGTAGATCATTTGGAGATGGAATTGGTATAAAACCAGAATTTTTCTTATCTCTAGCTTAGGATAATTTTCATTTATGTGCTATTAAAAAGTTTGGGACAAGTTTTTTGGAGATATCTCTGTGACAAATCTCTTCTTTTGTACAGCATCTACCATTTTCTTACGGTGATCATTAATACAGACTCAAACTGATTTAAAATTGTTTGAAAAGCCTCCTTTTTGAAGAGCTAACAAAGCATGTATGTATATGCAATTTGTTTTGTCGCAAAATTCTTTCACAAGGAGAAAGTTTCCCACAAAATCATTCCATGTCACACAAAAGAAATCATTGAAAAGGGGTCACAACATGTTCCTGTGTTGTCCATTGTGGACTGCTGAGCTTGGGATCCAGTGGTTATCTGAGGTCAAGAATGTGCAGAGTTTATTCCAGTCTTAGACAAAATACAGTTTTGCAATTTGATTTAATTCTTCCATACTCTGTAGATAAAGAGGACAGCAGCCTTTGTGAACAAGCAGCTGTTGCATTGGAGAGTGGTGCTGTTGTCTGTTGTGTAAACAATCAACTTCAGCCATTGAAGGTATTCCTTGATGAACCTTTGAAGAAAAATATGCAAGAACGGATGTACAATAATCACAAATGATGTACTTTTTATCTTTTTCTGTACAGGTTTGTTTGTCATCAATGAATTGTTTGGTGAATAGTTCCCCTGAGGTGGCTCCCATCCTGGTTGAAACTGTGTCCAGCTTGCTTCCAACTTCATCTGGTTAGTGTTCAATTTCTTTGCATTATTTCCCCAATTCTTTACACAAAAATGAAAGAGCTAGTGTTAGAGTGAAATCTTGCAGATCATCAAACCCTTATAATATATAGCCCTATCATCCTGGTTAGGTGTCTGCTGACATGTAGCCTACAGTTGGTAATCTGTCTGTGATCTGTTGGTCAGTTGTTGGCAATAGTACTGTAATATTGCCTTATTTATTGTAGTGCCCCAAACCTGAGGGGACATAACTACTGCTTTCAGTTGCAATACATTGTTCTGCTGAAAGGTTGTAGGAAAGCAAAACCTTTAAAAGCTTATCTTGACCCAATACTAGATTCTCCTTGCTGATTTCAAGAAATGAGTATGAATTAGTGGGGAGAATTTCAAATCAGATATTGGGAGTTCTTTTTTCTTGTTTTGGTGGTGAAGAGAAGAATTCTAAATCTCTGTCATTTTGTTCCTCTTTTCAGGTCCAATAGCACTTGAGCTGTGTCATGTGATGGTCACTATGGCAACACAGATTCCATCTTTACTTGCACCTTTAAGAAGTGAAATTGTCTCACACTTTGCCAAAGTAGTAGTAATTGCAGATGATGACCGCAAGGAATCAAAAGATTTAGTGGTATGTGTTTTTTGAGAGACTTGCTGTTTGTCTGAAGACCTGTTTTTTTAAATACTAAGAGTTTTTGTATCTTCTCTGCACCATAGGTTGGTATGGCAACATTGGTTTTACAGTCTTATCAAAGTGTTTCACACAATGAGGATGAAGATTCAGTGGCAAACTTGGAAAAGATGTTGCTGGAAAACCTGGGAAAGTTAACAACAACATCAAGATACTGGACCATGTTCAGAGTTGGCAAACAGGCTACAAGACTGGTTAGTTAGTCTTTGTACTGTAACACTGTTTGGTCCATTTTATGTACCAATGCCTTTTTTATCTGTATAGGAATGCCAGCTCTAGAGCTCTAGATTAGCAAGTTCATATTCAATTCCTGCCCATGGGAAATCAATTTGTGCTCTGGATTAAGATGGTTAACCAATGTAAATTGGCCACTACAAAGAGTGTCTAAGCTTACATTTCAAGTGTTCACCCCTCATCAGATCAAATGAAAGTTGCTTTCAAAGTTTGCTCTGATGAAGGGCTAATGCCTGAAACATCAGCTTCGAAACTATTTACGATGGCCAATTTATTTTATCAACTCAGTTGATAATACTAAATTACCCTGTTATACTCTCCCACTAATGCAGCACCACAGTTTCTTTAGAAACTTACCCCCTTTATTCAAGGCATGTTTCATTAAATAGCTATCATTTAGCTTAATAGGTGTTCAAACAATATGGATTGCTGAGATAATACACCAAAACTAGCCAATCAAAACTGAGAACTGAGATTGTAGTCTCAAAGCTACAAACATCCCAAATAAACTGACCAATCAGATTCCATACATCAGATTAAAAACTTTTGACAGATGAATGACTTTCTACTTGACTCTGATGCAGACGCTTACTCAAGTTGTCAAAATGTCTACTGCTGTCACTGATGACTGGCTTTTTTAGGCCTGCGTATACCTGGGCAATCCCACCTATGCAACTGCAAAGGCTAATAGCTTTGTTTTAAAGACCTGGTATCCTCCCTTGAATTGCTTGATGTTATGATACTGGGCCCAGTTTTTTGAAAGCCGATTAGCGCTAACCCAGGGTTAAATTTTAATCTGGGTTTCTATACTTCTTTGTTTGATAGCCTTTTTGGAATCATTTTCTCAACTCTATATGGAGCATCCAATCATCAAATTGTTGACAAAAAGAATTCTACTGAATTTTCCTTAAAAGCTTCCAGAGCTGAAATCCGATTTCACACTAACCCTGGGTTATCTAAACCCAGCTTTGAACAACCCAGCCCTGGGCATTTAGCCATCTTGAAACCTGAATATTTGTTACAAATTTTACTTATCAAGATCCTGACTTAATTCTAACAATTCAAAATGTTAAGCCTGAACTTTTCCTTTATCATTTCTCAGGGTTTTCACAGCTTTGCGGCCAAAATTTTTGGAAACCTGTCATCTAAGGTATACAGTGTGATGCAATTTCCACATGAACTGTTTTAGTTTTAATGCATAGGGAAAGTGAATTCTAACTTAATACTGGTGACAAATAGTGCATGAAAGTCCATGATACAAGAAAATTGTTTATCTGTTACTTAGAACATAAGAGTTGTCATTGTGGTCTTAACCCTTTAACTCCTAAGATCTGATTGTCAATTCTCCCCTCTGGCTGCTACATGTTTCTTGGTAAATTGATTATGAGAGTTAGGTGTTCATGCAAGGTAATAAATTTTACCTAATGAGTTTGATTGTTCTCATTACCTGTTTGCTGTGTAATGTATGGATACTGTAGAGAGAGGTTACATGGTAATCCCTTCTGTCAGCTTAATTGGAGGGAGATGCATTGGCCTGATAGCTAGGGGCCAGGACTCCAGGTCAAGAGGTCTGGGTTGAAGACCTGGTGGGGGGGAGCGTGTTGCATTCTTGAGAAAAACTCTTCACTTTCACAGTGCCCCTCTCTATTCAGGAATATAAATGGGTACTGGGGAACTGTCAGGGAACCCTTCTAGGGAGTAACCTTGCAATAAACTGGTATCCCATCCAGGGGTAGTAGTAATACTTCTTGTCACCCTATGTCATGGAAATCAGGATGAGGTCCCCCCCCTCCCCGAATAGGCCACTTGGCTTGATTACAGACTTTATCTTTCAGCCTTTTTGCTTTATTATCTTTCAGGTGGCATCAGAACACTTCTACTTCTGGTTAACTGCCTTAAAGTGTTTTTGTGAGGCAGAGAGTTTGCTTAGTGTCCCGTGTGATAGTCAGTTAATGTTAGCTAAACAGATATCGGAAGCTTGTGCCAAATACCATAAAGGCATTACGACCCTCAAGGTTTGTGTAAATGTTAATGAGCCAAAAATAAAACTGAATAACTTTAGATGGTCTTTTTGTCACTCTAAACCTAATTTCAAGTACTAGTGTATTAGGAGTCAATATCACCTCTGAATCACACACGAGAATGAAGGAAGGGATCATCAACTCAAGATTGAAGCTTGTGATTGTTAAACATATTCTCCTTTTCAGCACCATTGGAAATTTATAGAGAACAGTATGGAGAATATGCAAACTAATGTTAGGGTGTAAAGGGTTAAAAAAAAACCATTCCGCTTTGAATTGGTTGTTTGCTTTGGGGTACTTTTTTCAATGATTTTCTAACGATATGATGGTCGCTCTTCGTTTTCACCAGGCTTCTGTGTCTTCCAACAACCAACTGTCATTCCAATGTTCATATGCCAGTTTGAGGGCAGAAACGTTCCAGGCTCATAGTCTGCTCCTCGCATCTTGTGCCACCATGAAATCCTGTCCTCCGCCTGCCATTGCAACGGCTGTTGCCATGGCGACTGGTCAAGATGTTCAGCGGTTGAGTCACTTTGCTGCTCAAGTAAGTCTGTCAGGAAAAAGAGATTTCCTATCAGAAGGGAGTTTTTTACGTTGCTCGTCTGAATAAATGTTAAAGCTGTGAGACAGCTAGTCTTCGTGTTAGGTTTTTTTTCCTTCAATTCATTAAAGATTTTAATGTGCTCACAGAATATTCGATTTAAGGTAGCACTTACGAAACAGTATTATTTTTTCTTATTCAGATGACTGAATGCAGCAAAGTTTTCCGTAATCTTGGTGAGAGTTATGGACAGTTATATCGCACTTCATTTAATGCAGACCCTGTGAGCCTCAAGAACATCGAGACGTATCCTTTCACATGATTTTTCGTTGCTCAATTTGATCACGATAACGTAACAAATAAGGTCTTTTCAAACGAGTACCATTGTTGCCTACATACATACATACATACATACATACATACATAATTTATTTGAATAAGGTCATGATAAGGGCAGCTTTCGCTGATGTAGACCTCCTAACTACATGCTAAAATATTTAAAAAAAAGAGAACCTAATAACATAATCTTAAGAACTTTATAAAGTATAAAATATAGATCATCTAATAAATTATTATTAATGAAATAATCAAATATAAATATGAATCTAATAAATAAGTAATTAATTAAAAAAATAATCACTTTCAATAGTATATAAAATCTTCAGTTTTCCCATTTAAATTATTGCATTGTCCCTTTATGTAACTAATAGTTTCCATCAATCTTGATTTCTTTTTTAGAGCTAATTTAAAAGAATTCATATTTCGGCATTTCTTATTTTCTGTCAAATAACCACCGTTGCATCTGGCTTCATGTTCATCTTGAACCCTTTCGTCTCTTTTGCCACTGATCCTCTCCACGTCTGTTTGTGTCGTACACTTTTTCTCTCTCCTGAATGAAGTCCATCTCAAGGCAATTCTAGTCACTGATGGGAGTCAAAGGGCTAAACGTCTCCCTTGGAGATCGTGGTCGTGAAATTTCGAGGATTTTCCAGAAATATCTTGGTTTTTCTATGAAGTAGCAATTTGTTTTCAGTAGCATGTATTTTCTTTAACACGTAATTCAGTCTTCAGCAGAGCTGTTTATTGATATCCTACAGTATTGATGTACTAATGAAGACATCCCAGCCCAGGTACGGTCACTGATAATTTTCAGATTTCATTACATCCAATTTTGAAACCACTGGTGATGCTTGTAATCTGATTGGCTCTCATTGGTGCGATTTATTCACGAACCGATGACTGTGAATATATGAAAATCATATATGTGAACTGCGGTTTTTCAGAAATGAATATGAAAGCGATCTTCGTAGTAATGAACACTAGTTAAGCAGTAGTGAAAATAAGGCCTGAAAAAAATTCAGGATTGTACAGATTTGAACCTACGACCTTTGCGATACCAGTGGAATGCTCCACCAACTGAGCTAACAAGACAATTGAGGGCTGGTCATAATGTTGGTTCGTATTAATGGCTTAATTTGACTATTACACAGAATTATGTTGATTTGTTAATTTTTTAATGCAATTTTCCTCCAGTTCTGTGGGTGAACAACGAAATAGATCCTCAGCTCTGAGACAAAACGCACTTTCTTTGGCGTGTACAGACATTTTAGAAACAGTAGAGGTTGGTTTTGTCCCAGATTTTTCTCTTTTTTATCTTTACTTTTTGATGGTGAATTTCGTTTTAGTGTCAGGAAACCAAAAGTAATCGCAATGTCCTGTCATAACAGAGAAACAATCTCAAGAAATCAAGGAGAAGTTGAAATAAAGACAAGCAAACAACCTGAAGCGCGGGAAGAAGCAACTGAAAAAGTCGCCGTTGGTTTTCATTTTGCATCTGATTGGTCGAAAGTTCGGCGCGAGATTTCTAAACTAATCACTGAGCAAAAGCAAAACCGATGCAATGTCGAAGATTATTTTCCTCACTTCATTCAAAATTGCTCATACAGTTAAAGTGAATGGTCTGTTTTTATGATAATTAATTTCAGAACCTTGCAAGTCAACTTGAAGCTCTTCCTCTTTGTCATTTGGTAAGCCTGTAAAATATTGTGTTTGAGTACTTAGTAGACGAAACACGAACATGCCGGCCGACATATTGCTGACCAGACTTCCCTTACAAACAGAGAGAAATAAACAAAAGGAAAGCGTTCTTCTCTTAGAAGTAATCACTGTATTAAAGAAGCTTCAGTTCCAAACACTTTAAAGTGATTTGTTTCATGACTGAACATTTCCAAACTTCGGGCTCAAAAGATCATAATTATTTGCCCTTACTGCTACATGTCCCTTTTTCTGGCTATCCTGAAAATTTCACATCAAAGCAGAGTAATGTTTAACATATTAGATTCTTCATTAAGATCACTTGTGTGGTTTACAATCCACTGACCTTGTTGGAAGCTTACCAGCTTTTTTTTTTCTTTCAGCAAACCGAGTGTCTTATTCGTGCTTCAATGACTCTGATCAAAGTACCTTTCATATTTCCAAAGTACTTCTTTTGCAGCCAACAATCTACGTCCATCAAGGTAAGTGACCTCTCACTGGTTATATTGAGCGCTTTTCAATTGAATGTCGTAGAACTAAAACCAAAGTTATATCAACAACCAACCAGTAGGAAAGAAAATATCTTAGAGCCAACGAGAGCCAAAGCGCGGGAAAACGCACACGACCAGGGCGCGATTTTTTTCAGTTTTGCATCTGATTGGTTGATAAAGTGGTGCGAGTTTCCTGTACTGATCTTAGAATTAAGTTAAGTGAAACCAAAACAGTCAAGAGTTACTTTGGACACTTAAATGAAAATTACTCTAAGTAATGATTTTTGGTCAGTCAGTGTGTTTCATTACGGTACACAACCGGAAACTCCTTGACTTTGAACTGTTTTTGTACTTATTTGACGTGACAATAGGATTTGAAATGTGAACTTGGAGGAGAGCCACCGCGTCTTCCTCTGGTTCAGGGAAAGACGCAGAATTCACCTTTGACCAATCAACAAATCGTGACCCTTTTCATCCCTTTTTACCATCAGTATGCATATTTTCCATACCATACTCTTCACATCTCCCAAGGTGCTAACAAGAAGAATTTGCTTCACAATCAAGAGCTTCTGTAGTGGGCGGTCATTTCTTGTATTTTTTAAAACGAACCTTAACCCTTTAACTCCCAGAGGTGATTAAAAAGTAACTTCTCCCTACAATATCCATGCATTTTCCAGCAAACAGGTAATGAGAATACTCAAATGTATCAGGTAGAAGTTATCTTGATCTAACACCAAATTCTCGTAAGTTATTTACAAGGAAGTGTGTAACAGCTAGAGGAGAGAATTAACAATCGGATCTTGGGAGTTTAAGGGTTAATGTTTGATTAGTAGTGATTCTGTAAGGAGAAATTAGATTCTATCCACTCTTAGGGGTTAAAAGGTTGACTTATTTTTGCAGCTGGCGTTATCTCCCTCGGCCCGGTCCCCTGGAGAGCCTATCACGGTCAGTTTGGATACACAGTTTGTTCTCAAGGTGGAAGGAGTAATCGATCATGGACAGCGACCAGGTTTGGATTAACTTCACAACTATGAAGAATTTTTTGGAATTAAATGGGAAGTGGAATTCGAAAGGGTAAAGCTTTGATACGTCCCTTTTTGCTTTGTGCCCAGGCCTTTTTCGTGATGTCCAGTCCGTCTGTTTGTCAGTAACTTGGCAGGCTGAGGAGAAGAAGCAGCAAACCCTGGATGGAAAGGTTCGTCTATGGTTTAATTTGGAATCGTTGGCCGTGAATTTATTGCAGCGTACCAGAAATGAATGACAGTGCTGTGAAAGGATAAAAACAAGAGGCTTTTGGAGTTCTAGCTTACGAGCAAGCCCTCATTGTAGGTTCTCCAGCACGAGTGTTTCTTCACCTGCATGAAAATATAAGGTCTTGAGCATCGCGAACCGGCGGAAGGTCTGCAAGGTTCTGGCACTGACTATTAATGCCAGACCCCCCAGTAAACCTCTCCCCAACTCGTCTCAAATCTATCGCTCGTCCCGCAGCGCTTTTAGTGATGGTCCGTTCGCTGGTTAGTGGAGTTCGCCAAATTTCCTAATCATCCATCCTTTCATCTGTTCATTTTTTTCCTTCTTTCTCATAATTGCGGCTTTTTAGCTTCTTGAAGATGTTCGCTGAAAGGAGTAACACGGAACTGTTCTAAACTGTAGTTCCCTTAAGTTTTTTTTTGTTTAAATTTGAATTAAGAAATTAATTTGTGAATCATCTCTGTTTCAGTCCTCGCGCGATTGTGTGACTAGTTTAGAACAGTCGGTGGTTCCGCATCACGACTACTTCAGTGCCCAATTCTTGCTCTCTCTGAGTACACCCACTGTGTATCACGTGACAGTGTCTACTAGCGTGATTGATAGTTCTGGAATACCGTGGAATACAGGCCCTCAGAGCTCATTGCAGATTAAAGCTTCAGATAATACAGCCAGAAAACAAAGAACTTCAAGATCTTAGTGACCATGGAACGACTATCAGCGATAATGAAATATAGAAGTATTTCATGTAAATGTGAAATGAGATATGTTTTGTAGTCAAGAACTTCTTAGGGAAATAAATACAGTATATAAACAACACTATTAAAAGAGATTGAATTTGTGTTCATTGGATTGAAACTCGAAGCCAAATAATCCTTATCCAAATTTGCAGTGCGGTCACTGTTAATGGGGTCAGCTAACCCTTCACTTCCAAACAGTATTAGTGTGCATATTATCCTTACTGTTCTCCATACAGATTTTACGGTAGTGAAATTTTATGAACGGCCGAGAGCTTCACTGGTTGACGACTATTTCCGTGGTTAGACACATAGAAACCCTTCTGCCCAGATCGATCAACATTAAAGGTCCTTTAGCACCACTTGTAAATCATCTTAGAGAAATATGTTTTTCGTCCAGTCACGAACGTGGGACAAAGGAAAAATTCTGAGTCCCCATCATCTTTTATGTGGTCGTTACGTTTTACGTCGTCAACGAGTACACGTCGGCGAGTAGTCAGTGAATTTACCGGGTATCTTTGAGAGGAAGCCGGCTCACGCAACGAGTGATGAAATGCAGCACATAAACGACTGGAAATGTACCGAGCCAAGAGAGCCGCGACTGAAACAAACTTAACCCCCCCTCCCCCCCAGAGTCACAGCTGTCTGGCCAAAGCTAAGCCGAAACTGATTGTCTTGGCACCTGATAAGCAAACCCTAAGAGGATACGTGATTTTTCGCAAACTCAAAGTACAACTTCAGTAAAAGCTTAACAAAGCAGCAGTTGATCACCACTATGCTAAGTGTAGTTAGCCCTTCTAAAGAATGTGCGAAGCTTGCAAATAAGCGAAGTGAACATCTGATGTAAGCATTTCTTGTGCAATCCTCTAGTTATTGAACGTGTCGACTATATATTAAATTTGTATATTTCGTAAAAAGGTTAATTTCGTTATAATAGGATTGGGTAACTATTTCGTCGTTAAAATTGGTTGAAGAAAATTTAAAACGTCTTTTGCGTCGTACTGTTCTTCGCCTGATAACAGCAGGTGTTTATTGCTTTTTTTTCTCGGACTTAATTATATAACTCGAAATTTTGTATCATGAGAGCAAGCACGTACGATTTAGTTTCGTTTTGTCGCGTGTAAGCAACATGGTCGGAATATTAAAACAATCGGGAATATTTTACAATCGAGTGCTCCGACACTCGTATAATTGTCATATCTGACTTTTTTTTTTTAAATTTCAGCCTTCATTTTTGCTTACGTAGCATACACGTAGCTTAGCTTGCAACAATTCTACCGTGCAGTAAAACATTAATATTCATCTCATTAAAACCCAGTTTAAAATTTCAACCTGCAAACTGATCGCGTTTATCGAAGCTTCGGCAAATACTCGATCCTTATAAGAAAATTTTTATTTAAATTTGAACGGCTTTATGTTTGCGTCGTTTGTTTTTACGATACCAGATGAAGGCCGGGGAAAAAACCTTAAATTGACGTTGCGTTTTCTATTAGTTCGTGCCTCTATGCTCTGACGTCATTTCGAACCCTGTCAAGGCCAATCGCCCTAAGTCACGGTCATGCATTCTAAGAGAAACTTGAAATTTATTTAGGTTTCTCTCTTTGACAACACCAAATAATTGTTGTCCATTTTAGAAAAAGAGACCATTTCCCTAGCGAAATGTCTCCGAAAAACAAATTTTATCTTTCAGCAACTTCAGCTAACAACGAAAACATTTTTTGTAAGGGTCTTTCCCGGTGGAATACGCCCGCTCAAATTGATTGGTTCATTAGCTGCCAGTCATCTGTAATCATGGCAACAAGGATCGGAAAAACGTCAATTTTACCAGGAGTTTCACGGAAGTTCTAGAAAAATTAAATGAGCAGATGAGAACGAACGGCTAGAAAGAATCTCAACTTGTGGGCGAAATTGATTGTTTTGTGTTGGATACCTCGATAGGATTTAAGTGGGAAATCAGCTTCGACTACGTTCCTACAGCTGTAGTTTCCTTACCTACCAGAGCGACGACTTCAGAAACCAAATTACGGATTCGTGGTGCAATGTGCCGGTCGGCGATTCCGTGACAGGTTGAAATAATTCATCACATTTGGCTCGTTCAGTACTTTTGCCGCAGCCAACAGTATAGTATACTCTGATTTTAAGTTCTAGCCCGTCTAGCATTTCGTCGATTTGTTGTTTGTATTTTACACATCACTGAAAAGATTGTTTACCGTGACGGTGATACGGTTAGGATCCTCGCCGTGTCAATTAGAATCTTTAATGATATCAACTTCCTCGGCGATTCGGTTGAGTTTCTCTGGATTACCGCAGTGAAATGTGTCCGACAGAGGATAAAAGAGTGGAGCAGGAACAATTTGTTCAATCTGCCGTGAAGAAACAGCAGAGAAATAAACGAAAACGAGAGCCTGACATGTTTGTGGCAGCAGTTTTGGAATGCACTGTGCGAAGAATTTGTAGCGAAGTTTGCTCAAGTTACTTCTGTGTTTGTTCTTCCTCCAAAAAGAAGAGGAAATTGAGCATAAGCCGAGAGTCCAATGAAACAGATACGACAGATTTAATTCCTGATGGCGGAGATAGCACATCTGAAATACAAAATAACTCCTTGTATGAACTTCAGGAAATTATCACCATGTCTGATAAACCGCAGAGCACTGCAAGCGAGGACTCGCAGCTCGAGGAATTTCTTCAGAGCTTAACAACAGAACTGAGAAATTTGCCAACGTTTGAAGATGTGAATGAACTGTTAAGAGAGATCGAAGGCGATTCATCCCACCTAGATGTTTTGGGTGACGAGATCGAATCACTGCTAAACACAAGTAACGATCCGTTTTACCCAGGACTTCTTGAAGTATTGTTCCCATAAATTCTAACAGAGAATACGTAGGTTAAGAATTATTTTTTATAATTTCATGATGATATGGATCAGTATGGGAATTTCTGTACCAATTCTGACAATATAAAAGTTAATTTTGGCCCTCAAAAGTCCATCAGAATTTACACAACAAAACGGAAGTTTCAAATTTTTGCCATACTTCCGCTCGGAAAATTGACGTCATGGTTCGTTCCTGTATATTTTTTATTATTTTAACCTTATGTTTTCTAATTTTTCTGTTTTTGTAATCTATTCTCTCGCATGCAATGTAAAAAAGGGAAAGTATAAGCTTGTAAATTATTTATAGCATAACGAGCTATTATTTATATATAGCTAATTCTCTGAGGAATATTTACATACTAAGTCAGATGATATATTTAGAGAGAAAAAGATTGTAGGAAAGGTTAGAATCCAAGGTTCACGAGCCAGATCCACAGAGTAAGTGTAAATCTGGATTCTGATAATTTTTAAGTATAAATATATGTCATACATAGTGTATCTGAAAAGTTTTCGTACCAAAAAAAATATATAATGTTTATTCAATTTTTTAAGTATAAGCTATTGAAATTTGCAGGCATTAAAGAGGCATACTTAGAACAGTTTTGTCAAAAAATCGTCTTTTCATGTTATCCACCTTGTCTGTTGTACTGATATATTTTCAGAGCTCTTGCCTTTCAACTCTTTTCCTCACATATGTATTTGTCCTGTTCACATGGGAAAGTGGAATGGTTTGATTTCCAAAAATTAGATCTCTAACCTGTTAAACCCTCAGAGTGGCTAGCATCAAATTTCTTCCTTACAACATCACCCCTGAATCACTCATTAAGGTCAAGAAGATAAAGGAAATGATCACTAAATAAATAATCCCTTGACTGTTACACAAATTCTCCTGGACAGCACCTTAGGGAATGTATAGAGAACAGTATGGAGAATATCAATACTGATATTAGAATGTAAAAGGGTTAAGTTAGCAGGCCAGGATGATCTCTCATGTTAGCTCTCCTGCCTGGAACCTTGTACACTCTAACATCAGTACACATATCCACCATACTGCTCTCTATACATTAAAACAGTTGAATTATCAACAGTGAATGTCTGCTGTTATTTAATGCAGAGGAAAAATAAAATATCTCAGAGTATCTATTCTTAATCAAGTCTGTGTCATGCATCTATCTTGAATCCTTGCACCAGGTAGGGGAAGGGAAGAGAAGGGGGGGGAGATATTTTTTTATTTGTACTCTACATTAAATCTATATGATACAACAAATATATATATTACACAAAAAATGAAAAGAGTACAGGCTGTCCATAATAACCATTGAGGGCTAAAAAGATAGTGCAGCCTTACTTAGGTTATTAATAAATGATTACATTAAAGGGTCAGGTACCACACATGTGCACACACCTCACAAACACAAAAAGGAAAAAGAAAAAAAGCTAGTAGTAAAAGAGAGACAACAAAAGAAAGGTAAATATACCAGTATTTAACAACAGAAAGTGAGAAAAAATATAATTTTGGTAAATCTGCAATCAATATTTAGCTGATAAGAATTATTGACTTACCCGTAATCTTTTTCTTAAAACTTTTGAGAGAGAGAAGCTTTATGTTGTCACTTATATCATTCATTGGGGACATGATTTTGGAACAGCTGATATTTTAAGAGGGTTTATTTTGTATCGCTATGGCATAATCTCAGTGGAAAATGTAAAAAAAAGAAAAAAAAAAAAAAAAGGTGAAAAATGTTTATAAAAAGTTTTATTGTATTTGTTGAAATGCTGCACTGTACAACCAAGTTATCCTGAAAATGACTGTTGCCAGAGACAGAGTATGAAATAATCCAAAGGCCAAGTGGAAGTCATTATTTTTTCAGTAAGGAGTTGTTTTTCAGTCAAAGTCTGGTCTATGAATAAATACTTCAAGTTCTTTTGAAACCCAAGTTACATACACATTGATCATCAGTTGTTATCAGTTAGGTTTTATTCATAAGGAAAGCATCTGTGTTCAACATTTAAGTTGAGAATCAGATTCTCAAAAAAAATACATTAAAACAAAACAAGAATGTATAATTACCTATTGAAATTATTTTTTTGGGTGGTGGTGGCATCCTGTTATCATTGTCAAATATGGTAGAGATTTGCATGCTAGTGTGGAAAATGAAACAACGCTTGAAAAAAAAAGGATCAGGTAATGAACAAGAAGTTTTGCATGAATGAAGCCAGTGTTTGGACTGTTCTTGATAAATCTTGACCGCAGAAAATGATTTATGTCTTTTTGGTCTGTCATATCTCAGGAGGGTGTACAAACTCCACAGATCTTAACTCTTTAACTCCAAGAAGTGATTAACATGTAACTTCTCCCTGTAACATCTTTACATCTGTTTCGTTTAATAAACAGGTGTTGCCTCTTGTTGACAGTTTTATTTGATGACAAGAATCGTAATTGTCATTAATTCAATAGATTGATTTAAAAGCATTAGATTGTTTTAAGTCAGTTTTTCAGCAGAATCGAAGTGAGAAAGAAGTTATTTTGCTATCGTTTTTCTGTCTCTAAATCTGCTTATCTGGAGAATCTATTAACCCGTAAAGTGAGACTATTGTAACGATCTGCCACAGAAGTAAGTTTATATTGAAGTTTTTTAATTTAGTTACAAGATAGACTTGATTTGCATTTGTTCTAATTGCAAATTATAAATGTATTTCTTTTAGATCAAATAATTATTAAAGCTTGGTTTGATATTAAATGGTTTGTGGTGGTCATTTGATCTAACCAGTTCCGAGTAAGGAAATAACATCATCCATCAAACAGACTATAAGAATGTTCACACTTAGCAGATGGAATTTGTTCACTTGATTTAAGACCAAATTCTTGTAAATACTTTACCAGGAAATGTGTCCCAGCTAAAGGGTATAACTAACAATTGCATCTTAGGATTTCAAGGGTTAACTACTGACCTTTTAAAACAACTTATCCACTTCATCAGTCTAGGATAACCAAATCAACTTAAAAATGGATTGTCTCAACTCCATGACCTGCTATTTTAGCACAAGTGGCTGGGTAAGTCAAATTCTCGATGCATTCTAAAATATCTTTACATTCAGGGTTGCATCCAGGTTGTTTGGCAGTATAATGACAGTCTAAAGGATTTGGAAAGGAAAAAATACTAGCCACTAAATTGGTATAAATCATCAATCTGACATCCACTAATGTCCACAGAACAGACCTTGTTGAGTTTCGTTGAAATTTCTCTTTATTGACAGTGTGGTTGTGATATTCTAATATGATCCTATGTTTGCAAAGTAAAATAATATTAGAAGAAGCAAAAGACTTATTGTCAGGAAAAACTTAAGCACTACTTTTTTTTTTGTATTTTTAAGGCAAGTGGGAGCAAGTGCTAGGCAGGCACAAAGCGATAGTCTCTTGAGAGATGACTCTCTCTTTGCACATACCTTGGGCTCATGTCCACTGGACTGAGGAACACAAAAAGTTACCCCCACTCTAAAAGCTTGCATCTCAAGGAAAACAGATTTACAAACAGGGAGATAGGCTGCAGCACATAATGGCAAACTGCTAACAAAATAAAAATCAAACCATTGTATAAATACAAAGGAGCTCTGACACTGCCTAAATTTACTGAAGTTATTGACTGAATTCTTTGACCAATCACTTCATCAGAAAAGCAAACATAGGTCATAACCTAATTTTGCTGCTACAACTTGAGCAATAAAACATATGCTTCCTTTTTCTTTCAAGGGAGAAATGATTCATTTGATGGTTCACAAGTTATGAACTATACAAGATTAACATAATGTGACCTTCTGGACTAATTGCAAACTGTTTAAACTTGAACTACACGTTTTTCATTGGAACACTAACCAACTTCAGTGGTACAAATGAAGTGTTTTCATGTATGACAACATAATGCATTGACAACAAATCTAATGTTCAAGTTTCAAACTTAATTGATAATTGATGATGATAAACCATTCTAACTAACAGGAATGTTACACAAACTGCCTCACGATTTGTCCCTTCGACTCGCAGTGAAACTATTCTTCACCATATAATATAGAAATGTACAGCAATTAATTTATTAACTGTTCATAAACTCCTACTTTTCAATATAAAATAATATAAAATACATTACTTGTCTTTTTATTTATATTCCACACTTTTCCAATAGAACACTTTATATTAAATGATGGAATGGATGTAAATAACTGGTAACAAAATAATACAAACTCAAGATATACTGACAAAATCTTTATACTGAGCACTACACTTTCTGTGGATCACTGTTCAAGAAACTAAGCAAGGAGAGATGGTCCAAATATTTCAGATGGCGTATGCCATAAGTATTTTTTTAACAACCAAAATTTCCCCTCTAATAAAACAGTCCATATAAATGAATACAACCGCCCACTGCTCAGTATAAACCAACAAATCTTTTAAAAAAATTGTATCTTCCAGCCTTTGGCCTTTTGGCTTCTGCAGCAAACTATTTTCAACATGAAATAATACAACTTATTGTCAATAATAGCTAAAGAGTGTGGTATCCATATACCACAATACGTCATTCATACAATGTTTCTGAATTGCTATTACCTAAAAAGTAGGTTGCTTTTCTCTGCCAGATTATCATGTAATTACAAACACAAAAAAAGTACAAAAATACATGTTTCATGCAGATAATACTAGTATCTTACTCATTGGCAAAATCTAACTAATAGTTAAAGAATATCATTAAAAACTAATAATAAATATTAATCTTGCATTTCTTCAGGCACATCATGAGGGTTGACAATTCCAGGTACAGAGAGTTGAACTTTTCGTTTCTCTTCCTGAGCTGATTTCAGCTGCTGATCACGCTCTTCCAAATACAGGTCACTGACATCTTCACCTCTGTATTCCTGGATAACATAAACAGGACAGAACTGAGTTTTAACATCTATATTATCACACATGTACATACTACAATCTGAGGATTGTGATTGATAAGCCATCAAAATATACAGTTCACACTAGAAGTTAACTGGTATATGATTACTCTGTACTAGTTGTTGTTGCTTTTCCTTTACAAACTAACACTCAGTGATGAATAAATATATTGCTGTTTTAAAAAAATACAAATTTGTTACTGGAACTTTTTGGACATAAGATGATTGTCAAATTAACTGGTCTAATAGCTCATATCCACTTTACATTTATATTTGAAACATTTCTTTCAAAACAATTAAGTGAATAAACACAACACAAAACAGACAGGATACCTTGATTTGCACCATGAAGTCTCGCAAATGTTCCTTGAACGCTGGAATGTTTTGATTTAGATCAAAAAGCCCTTGGACAGTCAGCTTAATCTGTGCACTAACCAGAATAAAAATCACCATTAGAAAAAGAGAAAAAAATAAACTCTGGCATTCTTACATGTTGAAATTGTTTTAATCCCACAATTACCATCAGAAATTTGAGAGTAGTTGTGTTAATTACCAATTCATAGTTTTCGGTGGGTTTCACTGTTTTTTTTTAACAGATTCACTTTATTAAACATGATTGACAAGTGTTCTTAACTTGAGAGCCTATGAAAGAACTTCCAACATCATTAAACTTGATATTGATCACATTGCGCAAAGCTAGGTTACGGGCTGTATGCAAACAGGCACCACTTACTCTTGCAAATGAGGAAAAGCTTGCTTGAGAAGATTGGCTATGCACTCTTGAACATATGCCTAAAAACCGGGAAACATGATTGAGTTAAAAATAGTTAAAATAGCAAGACTTTCACAAAGAGTAGAAACATAAACCATACAAATTATAAACAAGCAGAATTGTAGGGCTTGTGTAACCACACACACCTGATTTGTGGGATACTGTGTTGCTTCTGCAGCAAAAAGAGGCTCTGAAACTTTCCCTGATTCTACTAAACTGAACATGTGTGCCAAGATTGTTGCATGCATTGTTAAACCTAAGGACACAAGGAAACAGTTAACTTTATCAATATAAGTTGACAGTGACATCTACTGAGTGTAAAACATAGCCAGCTAACAAGTTAAGAAGTTACACCACATGACTGAAAAAAGTTCAGCAATCAATAAAGTAATGAAATCATAGCCTATGAGAGACTTGACCTTACTTTAAGGGGCATGGTATTTATGGTCACTGGGATGAGAGACTGCTGGTGTGCATATCCTTACATAGGCACTACAGTTAACTTTGCATAATAACAAGTCCAGAAAGACTGGATACACTTAATAATATTCTGGAAGTATAAAGTGAGTATTTTCTAATGAAATAAATTTTAAACACAATTTGGACCATGTCCAAAAATGCTAAATTTGTATTTCTTTCTTAGGGATGGCTTCATTGTTCCCACCTGTGTCTAACACAAAGTACCATTATTCAACAGTACCTGCTGTATGTGATGTGTCTGTGACTACTGATAACACATGCTGAACAATCATCATGTAGTACGTCTGATAGAAACTCTGTGCAGCAGCTTCTTGCTCCAAGCTTTTTAACAATGAGTACAGAATATGAAGCCCTATGAAAAAGTATCATTCCTTTAGGTTGATTACATGCCCTGATAATGATTGGTTTGCAGTACTTAATAATTAATGCAATTTTACATGATGAAAGTACATACCAATGTCTGCAACATTTCTCATTGTGTGTTTGAAAGCCCAAACAATGGAATCTAAAACCAGCTTGAATTGTTGAGGTGGTATTGTTAATAAAGCTGAAAAACAAATAAAGAAGCAATTTGATATGGTCACATCTACAAGACTTAGTTACAAGCAGCAAGACAGTTGTGTGCTGGCTTTACTTTGCCAAGACTTAAAGCAAAATTTCCTTGAATGACTGCTAAGTTATGGCTTCAAATAACAGCTTTCACAATAGAGATGTTCTTTGGTTAGAGATAATTTCCTCTCACCCCATGACCTGTTTGATTCAGCAGTGATGTATACAATAAATAAGAGGCTAGGTTAAATTTGGAGTTGAATTAACCAACCACTAGGCCAATGGGGCCTGTCAGCAAGAAAAATATCAGAGAGAAAGACCCTTTAAGGGTTTCAAAGAGAAGATTTTCAATTACATGCAAGCCTTATTACCTTGGAAGCAGTGTTGCACCACTGCTTGGAGAAGGAGGAAGAAGTTTGTTCTGTGTTCAGGGAACTCTTCGAAGTTCTGAAGAACCGAAAACAAAATGGGCTATTTCAGAATTCATACTCTTTACAACTTACAGAATTCTTACAAGGTTCCATGATTTATCATACAAATAAAAACAATGGCAACAGTCACCTAACCTTATTAATCATGTCCAGGGTGCATTCAAACACAGCATCAAATATCTTTGGCACATGCTCTGTGACATTTCTCTGAAGATTGAATAAAAAAAGAAATAGTCAAGACAAAATTAAAGTCATGTTAACCAATTAAATACCAAACTACGACAACTTGTCCTTGATCACTCCCATTTTCCACAATTTAGTCCATTTACATGTTTTGACTTGGAGTTCCTGGTGGCTCTTGTGATATTTTCCTGAACTCTGATGGGTCATTGTGTATTTCTTTTATACAAAAAATTTAGTAAACACTACACTGAACAGTCCTTTATCACTATGAGAACATTAATACAAACCTCTAATTTGTTAACAAAAGTTGCCATGGTACTCAGCACTTCAGGTTCCCGTGCATTAGGCACATTCCTCTGATAGTCACCCAGTACAGCATCCAGTAATGGAGGAATAAAGTTATCACACACAAGCTTTGCATCATTTGATTTGCCAACCCATGTGGAAATTAGTCTGAGGGTTTCTGTTTTCACTGTTCTCATTGCTCTTATAAGAGGCTGTTTTGTGACAATTTCACCATTTTCCGCTATTGCCACAGAAATGTTTTCACTAAGACAGCGGTAAACGTTAAGCATATCCAGGTATATTCTTCCAAGCTGTGTAACAAAAGGGTGTCCAATTGATTTGCAGCCTTGAACATTTGTTTTCAGAATGTTTCCCAGCTGTTTGACAACTTCTATTTCCCTCAAATGATCGATATTCTAAAAAAAAGAAAAAAAGAAATCTATGACTCAAAGTCGTTTGGTTTGGCCAGAATATTTGGTGTAAAGCACCAGTGTTCATAAAGACTAATGATTAAGGCTGTGTGTCAACAAAATACCAAAGTCAAAATCACATAACATAAAAAGGTGGCTGGAATGCCACAATAGGCTCTGGATGTCTGGAAATGGATACAGGACCATCAACTTGTCTGGTAGCCTATAATGTTAACAATGCTAGATCTTTAAAGTAAAATTCAGTACTATACAGCAGCTGATTCAGTTTTCTTAACTTACCCTTGTTGCTTCTTTAACAATGTTGTCCCAGGCTTGATTTGGAAGTGACATGTACTTCTCAATTAATCTCTCCATGACAACAGAATCCTGCAAATGATATACAGAACATTTTTCATGTAACTTTTTCTAAAAGGAAAGCCTGAAAAAAGACAATACATAAACTTTATGTCACTTACAGTTTGTGCACTGATCATATATCCAACTGCCTCATAAAAAGTGTGAACCTATAAATAGGAAGAAGGAAATATTAGAATGTTTTTGGGGTCTGTTTGCCATAAATTTAATGGAAAACATATTGAAAAAACAAATAATGAAACAAAATATACTGGTAAGTTATTTCAATAGCACTCTAGATTTTATTTGATCATTTTTCTTATATTCAATCTGCTACATAATCCACGAATAACAAAAAATTTACCTGCTGTGGTTGGAGGTCACAGATAATAGACTGTGTACTGTTTAGTATTTCCTCAATAAAAGGCATAACCTCGCCAACCTGCACCTAATAAAGAGTGAATAAAGTACAGTTTATTTACAAGCTTTTAGCAATAGACTGGTAAAATGGATTTTTTTTTTCCTACCTGGGTGAAATGTCTTCTGCATTTCTGGGCTATTTTGATAAAAGTATCACAAGCCATGTCCTGGACACCATCATGTGTTTCTATAACACAAAATACAATAATTTACTGATGAATGTTGATGAATCTATAAATTATGCCCCACCCATCTAGTGGCCAATTATTTCCAATGCTACCAGAGCTGTAAGTGTCTCACTAAAATGAAGGATACAAAGCTTACCATGCATAAACTCAAATAGTTTGTTAACCACTGTCTTCAGAAACTTCCAATGGGCCCTGGAAAGAAGAAATAGTTATGATTCAGATATTTTTTCCCTTATGGCTAAGGTACCAATGAAACAAAATGCAACCACACATACAGTCATGCAGAGATACTGCATGAAATACGTATATTAAGCTGCATGTTTACACACCTCAAGAACCTTGGATACTGCCCAACAATATACATTATATTTGAGGCAATAATTGCCTTGTTGTCCTTCCCACGTTTAATTTCACATAAGCCAAGGAGATCCTATAAATAAAAAAATTCCACAATGAAAATTGGACAATGTACAAAAATATACTCAGGATTAAAAAAAAAACAATAAAAATTAAAAATTTTTTTTTTTGCTTGTAAGTCTAAGGAGTACATAAGCAAGAAGATGTCTTAAATTCAGACTACTCATTAACACAGGCTAATGTAATCTTCAAGGTGGTAAAGTTCAGCCAACATTCCTCAAGCATGTTGATTTATACTATAAAGGACAAACATATAATTTAAGAATAAGTCTTATTTTGTAAGATGTGAAGGAAGATATATCATTTTTATTCATTACCTTGATTACAGTAACCAAGAATCTCTTCTCATCCTCTTCATGCATTGCTCCACTGATAGAGCCAACTGCCCAACAAAGCTGTTAACACAAATCAAACTGTTTATTATCAACTGTTAATGCACGAAACAAAATTATGATAAATACTGACAAGTGTATCAAACATGAAATATTTTCCGTGGTTAAAAATCTTTTCACACACACAAAGAATAATTCTAAACATCCTTTTCAAAATATTGCAAGGGAAAAAAAATCTCTGAATAATATCACAACTAACCGTATTGAGATTCTTCCATGACCATTCAGTGCCATTCACTTGATTCTGTAATTTTTCTGTCATTATTCTCTCAGTGTCTTGGTAATCCAAATGGGTGAGATAAACTTAACATGCAATAATAAACGAAAGTTAGCAAGCTTTCCACGTCTCATATTAATAATCACTGTTGCACCCTGAATTAGCATTAATTTATTAAATTCATTTCAAAATGTGTAAAAACACTTGCATAGTTCATCTTCCATTGTTATATTTACCTAAGGTTTCCCTCATGTTCTTGTAGAGGTTGATAGCATCTGTATCCTTCATGAACTCCCTGACAACTTCTCCTTGATCATTTTCAACCACCAGAACCTGTTAAGAATGACAAGGCAGCAAAATGAGTGCACATGCTACACTACTCAAGCCATTTGTGCATTCAGGGCTGCAATTCTTCTTCTGCAAACATAAGCTGATTCAGGTTGTTCTTCCAAGACAACAAACTTTTTCTTCAGGGTTTTTGCCTACTAAGGAGGCCATGACAAGAAGTGCTTAAGCAATAGCAGGTGTTACAACCTTTGTAGCCATGTGACTGATGCTCAACTTCAGTCACTAAATTCACACCTCTTAGCACAATACTCTTTTTGTTGAGTGAGATAGGTGACGTTGGAGGTTTGACAGAAACTTTACTATAGATGGAAACCCTAACTGTGAAAATAAGGAATGGAATTTAAAAAATGCAGCCGTTTTGCCTAAGTAGTGTGGAAATATCATCATTCCCATTCCTTTCCAGGCATCAATTTTTTGCAAGTGAGGAGCATGCATACTCATTTTGCCATCATGTTGTCGAGAGTAAATAAAAAAAAAAAGTTGTACTTCATCTTGATTCTATCAGCATCCCACAGATTTTCTCACCTCTTCTGGTTTGGCCATCCTTGCAATCATAGTAAGCCGTACCTAAATATGTCATGAACAAGTAACAAGGAATCACATAAGTAATTGTGAACAGAATCACATATCACCAAATAAATCAAACTCTTGTTGATTCTTCTGTGGTCCTAAACATAACATGCAAAAACAAGACCTTTCAATGTTCAAAATTCAGAAAAGTCATTGTAGTTAAGGAACCTATGTGCACAAAAGCACACCACAGTTTCTCAAACAAGGTGAAAATTAACTTGCAATCTACCTAGTTTCTATTCCTGCTGTCTCTTGTGGAAAATGAAGTGACAAGAGCTAAAGGCAGCAGTAATTTACTTACTTTGGATAATACTGACAAGTACATTTGTCTTCTTGGTGGTATTGTTTGAGACTGTGAAGAGCCAATCAAAAGAGGTGTACTTGAAGGGAATGGGTTCTCGCGGTATAAATCTGATGCCAGGGCATTCCAGTACTCCAAACAAATCTTGAATATTTCTGTCTCTTCTACCTCAGAGATGAGGACAAGATAATGGAGAGCCTGAAGAGGCAAACAATAACTTTGTTTGGAAATATGTATTATAAGTACAACAATGTTTGTGTAAATATGTTTATTATCCTGATGTAAACACAACAATGCAACCAATTTTCCAGCTTATTGTTTCCCCACTTTTACATCAGGCTATGTAAACACGGAAACCATTTTACATTTCTTTTATAAAATAACAAATGAAAGAGGAACGAAAACCGTGTTTACATACACTCATGTAAAATGGTTTTATGGCCAATCAGAGCATGCGTACTATTTGCATTATTTTATAATTCTTTTTGTTGTCTACTTTGCAAGGTTAGCAAGGAATTTTGCCACCTCTGCCACTTCCCTCTCAGCACTCAAAAAGTCATGTACAGTTAGATCTGAATTGAAATTTTATTGACTCTTCTTAATTGACTATGGTGTGTCATTGTACATAAATTTTGCCCTTGCATTCCAATTAAGTATACCATCAACTGCACATAGGAAGTTGACACTAAAGTATATACCACCAAATTCTTACCTCCAACAATGTTGTATGTAGTTCCTCCTACAAAGAAGAGAATATTTACAAATCAAATATGCTTCTTTAGGTATACTCAAAAGTACTAATCTGAGATGTAAAATAATTTCTCAGCCATACCTTCTTCTCCACTAACTGGCCATGTTCCTTTAGAAATGTACACAAGAACAAACTCAGATTCTGAATAAACTTCTGCTCATCATCTTTTCCATTTGCATATGCATCTTTGATGTTGATTGTCAAAGGGAGCATCTAGATAGAAATTCAAAATAAAGAGTGAGCTCTACACTGATATGAACAAGACAAATTTTATAGCTCCAACAATTTTCATTAAAAAACTACATTTGGTTTCTTCATGTTTGTATTCACATGAATTATGTAAGTGTATATAACATTTACAAAGGCGCAAACTGTTATAGCAATCTCTATCCCAAGGAGCAGGAAACCAGCACTTGCATTTAAGCTCTTAAAAAAGCTTGTAAGTGTGGCACACAATAAGACTGGCTATGCAATTTCTTCTTCCAAAATAAAGGGGCTGCAATGCAGGTGGCTAAAATGCAGTATTTAGCTACAGGAAGTTACTATATTTAAAGGATGAAGTAGCCAAAATTAATATTGCTATGCTTACCTGTTTTAACTGAGCCATCGTTAAAGAAAACAGCACTACAAACTGTTCATCATACTGGTTTGCATCAATGCCAGCTGTAAGAATAGTTTCAAAAAAATGCAATGGATGGATTGGATGCAGTAAAATAACAGCCTAATAAAATTGTACCTTGCTACATTCACTAACTCACAAAACAAAACATTTGCAAAACAAGGTTTAACTCTATTGCCTAAGATTACTTCACTAAGGATTAAACTCATTCAGCGCAAGAATAGCAAAAGATTTCTGGACTGCAAACTTTCATGAGCCAGTTTCCAGTTTCATTCTTTTTGCAAAAAAAACAAAAACAAAAAAAAAAAACCTTACCAATTTCAGTCAGACACTTCAGAGTCACATTTCGGAACATGGGCACATTCAGAAACTGCAAATTAGAAGGAACTTCTGCTTAAGTCTGTACTTTTCATATCAAACATAATGAATTTAGCAATCCAAGTATTAAGAGGGAACAAAAAAAATTAATGGTGTTGTTATGGGTTATTTCCCAGCATACCTTGCAAACAAGCGTGCTGTTCAGCTGTGTCTCAAATATGTAACCAAGGGGAATCCAGTTGAGAAAACGTAGCAGAGTCTACAATAATAGCATAAAAGGAATGAGTTTAAGGATGTCATGCTCCACAGACCAACTGTTCCTCCTTCTAAAATTGGTCATTACAAATTTATTTTGTTCAAACCATTTTGTGACACAACAACAACAAGAAAAAAAAAAAAAAACAACCAACAGTGTACCTTCAGTATATTCTAATTAGTGTAGAATAACAAAAATTGCACAGTCTTTAGCTTTAGAACCCAGAGCTCTTATGTTTGTAACCTCATGCTGATGTTAGGTCTCTAAAACCCTCAACAGCTGTCCACAGCTGTTCTATTCAAATGACTCCCTTTTTCTCTTTCTTTCCATTTTTTTTAAGGGAAGGGTTGCAAAAACATCAGAGGTTACAATATCTCCTTGGTTTACATACCACTCACCCTGTAATCAGGGTTCGTACCTTTTTTATGAAACAAATTTCGTAGACTGTTCCAGGATTTAATTTGATTTTTCCAGGGCTCCAAATTTCAACTTAAATCTTATCACTTCCAAAATTTCAAAATAAATCATAGTTACAGTCTTTATACATTTCTTATAACATAAATTCAGAAAACTTTATTGCTTGAGTTAAGCAGATTTCCAGGACTTTCCAATCCTGGAAACTTACAAAATAAAATTCCAGGACTTCCCAGGTTTTCCAGGACCCAGGCAAACCTTGTGTAATCACAGAACTAACAGGAGTTGAGTTATAATGTAATAAGCTTCTAAGTAACACAATCCACTGACCTCCAATGTTGCACCAATGAGAGTGACATTTTGAGAGTTGCCCTAAACAAAAAAAATATTGAATAGTTTATAATGAAAGTGCTCCAGTAGAGCTCAAAATCTGAATGGCAAAATATTTCCTGGCAAATAATTCAAGTAGGAGTAAATTATCTGCATAACTTCTCTGCAATAACATTATTTTTCTCAGGCATGTAAGATCAGAAATAAACCTAATGACAAATAAGATCACAGAGCCATAGTTAATTATATCAAACTGCATGTGGAAAGTGTCATGTCACTCGTAATTAAAGTGAGTATTCCAACATGTAAAAAATTAAGTCCATAACCTACCAGAACAAACTGGCAAAGGGTAAATATCTGCAAGAATTCACTGCACATGCTGTCCTTCAAATGTTTTGCCTTTGCTTGTGTCATCTGACCACTGGAGAAGTCAAAAACTTCCTCACTGAAAAAAATTAACAAACTCATTAGGTCACAGACACTTAATGAAAAAAATAATAACTCAAAAATGCAATTCAAATTAATTTCATATTTAATGACAAACTTTCCATGAAAGAACTGCAGTCAAGAAAAACAAATGTTTGAAAGACATTGATGGGCCCAAAAGTGAGCAATCAGGACAACTGACCTTTATATGCATATTTTAAAATGATTTGCAGGTTTCTTTTTCAACATAATTAGTATTTCATTTCTAAATAAACTACGTTCTAACTAGACTTTTGGTAATTTTATTCATCTTGACCTGGTCTTTATAATAGATGCAAGAAAAAAAAAAAATCTTAATTTTCTTTCTTGCGGTTAGGGATTATTTTGGTCTTGTCTAAGTAATATTTGCATAGAATTGTGTTAAAAGCCTTCCAACAACACCAAAGGTTTAAATAAATCTGTAATAACAAATAGTAACTTTAATTCATCCCAAATCATACAATCCTTCAAATCAATTTTTAATGATTACATAGAGAAACACCTACCTGAGAAGTTTAAGAATCACCATGTTGTTCTGGCAGAGAGACTCGTTTGCTTTACTAGCGCCAACTATATCACTGATAAAACTTGGCCACTTCTTTGGCCATTCATGCTTCAAAATCTACACAAATATAAGAACTAAAATTAAACAGACTATAAAAGTGGAATTAAAAAAACAATGCCACAATTCAACAAACAGCAATTCATTACAACATTTTAAATATTTAAATCACTTTAAATAATAATATGCAATTCGCCAAATCAGACTTAGTGGAATAAGGTGCTAAACAGTAAGGTCTGATTTTCAATGCTCAAGCAAGTAACTACAATATGCAACCCGAACCTGAGGAACAAGGAACAAAATCAAGTGGTCCATTGATATGGTACTTAAATTCAACTGAAAATGTCAGTTTAGGCACTCATGGTGAGAAGTTATGTCTGGCAACCAGCCATTCTCTCCTATTACCCATAAACACCTGTCATAAACAGCATTAGCTGACTAAATAATCAATGTTTTTGACAACTTAGAACTTAAAATACGACAGATCTCGTTTGCAAAGACGAACACAACCGTCTTCTACCGAAATAAATGTCGCTTCTATACCTGACCACTGAAAGTAGCATTCTAAATGCGAATATTTTTGGCGGGAATCACCCTTTAAATGGTAAACGGACACCTAAGTTCACATACCTCCACTAAAATCATATTCAACTTTCCAATATATGTTTTTTCTTTCTGAAAATAGAATAAAAATTTACTTTACTGAAGAGGAGACTTAAAACTTCGCAGCGAAGACAGAGTATTAGACAATTGTCACGCGAAAACAAAAACCAACTTTGTAAACAACACTACACTAACACACCTCCAACATATCGCCTTCAGACGAGATTTTTATTATGAGCCCTACGATATATTTCTTGATCCCTGAAAAATAAAAAATAAAAATCTTACTTTACCTTATGAGAAGGATTTCTTTAATTGGTTTTACTGTCAAACCATGGAAATGATAATTTATTCTGACAGACTTATAGTAAACTTTCTACTGGCTGACTAACCTTCGCACTGCTCGGACGGAAGAACTTTCCATCGCGTCTTGATGACCGATTCGAGTATTTGGAGCGCGAAATACTGGAATAAGAATTATTAGAATGACTCAAAAAAATTATAAATTTTGTGGAAAATCCAGATATTGAAACCTACCTTAGTCTGCTGGTTATTTGAAAATTCGAGTATTGTATCGACTCTTGTCCAGGCGTCCGGGTGCTGTTTGAGTTGAGTTAGGATCTGGTCTGCCATTCGTTGCTGATGAAGCGAAAAATAATCCGTCAATCAGACGGCCATTTCCAAAATCTGCACATGATACAGTCATAAAATGAACGGAAAATATGTATGAACCTGTGGTCCTTGTGCCATGTAAAAACACGAGACAACCGAGTCTAGTAAAGTTATATCGAGTTTTTGCGTAAAATCCAGCAGCTGCGTGGCATGCTCTATGGTTGCCATTGCTGTAGGCATTGGAGCAAATAGACAGATCACGAGAAATAAATATAATCTGGATATAAACGTAAAAAATTACGGGAACAATTTTCTATGCGACCTTCTCGGAGCACTGGATGAGTTTATCGGCGGACACCGCGGCCAGTTTGCACCGCTTTTCCCGGTTTAAACCAGTCATAAGGCTACAAAAGCCCGGATGTAACAGGTTTTGGAGCCCTTTCTCTATCTCTTTCTGTGAAACATCGTTTAGGGAATGAATGAGTATTGAGATCTCTCAACTCGTGATCACTACAAAATAGGAATTTTTTATTGGATATTATATTTCTGCTTATGTAACATTTATAGAATATGAGCAATCACGAAAGTTCACGAGTCGAAGGGCGATCAACGAAGATGCCATTGTTTTCAAATACAAAAATAGTAAATTTGACAGTTCAGTAACCTATTTCCGCTCTGTTGATAGTAAAATCCCATTCACGAACGCGGCACGTGCACCACTCATGAATTAATTAAGCCCGCCTCGTTTACGTGCTCGAAAGCGTCTGCATTCGAAACTCGTCTGATCGTATGTGTACCTTACAAAGACCTGAACCCGTGTTCGAGAACTTTGGCCCGACGTTTACTCAAATTACAAGGAAGTAAATTTTGCATAAAGAAAATTGAGAGAAATCAGCAGTAAATTCTGCCGTAAATGTATCATTGAAACGTGAAACGTAACTTTTGTTTTCCTTCATCGTCTCTTGGCAAAAATTTTTAACATAAACTTTAGAGAAAATTAACTTTTTGCTCGTACCCTTTAAATCTTATTTCACCCGGTCCAGATCTTCATTCAATAGGAAACTAAAAATGGATGAGCTTCAACAATGAACACATTTCAGTGTTGCGAAATTTATGTTCTAAACACGTATTGGAATAACGACTTTCGTGATTGACCAGGATGACGAGAGAATCAAGTCGACTTCCGGTTTTATTTCTGCTTGAAGGCGCGCAAGGTTAGCAGGGAAGGCAAACCGTAAAGAAAGAAATGAAGGGATGGCGGATAAACCATGATAGTTTTTCACAAGAAAAAAGACCATAATATATCACTAAAAAGAAGCGGGAAATACAACCAGCTGAAAGTGGCTGACTAAAGGTATATTCAGTCGGTATGATTGTTCTAAAGAACGCTAGAATGGCCGAACAGCGCGGGCTGTTGCGAGCGTGAGTCAGACATGCGTTATTGCTATTAACGGGTGAAGGTTTCTTCAACTAGTCACATTTCTTTCAAGATGTTGACATTAAAATGTAGAGAAAAAAAAACGTTGAAACATACTACGGTCATCAGATTCGTAAATCTTAAAATGCTTTAGCTGATCAGGCTAGGTAGATATCATAAAGAAGTATTTCAGAGGGTTATGTCTTAGTATGGTGAGGTCAGATGTTTACGGGAAACTCTTTAAACAATTGTTCAGACGTTCTCGTCTAGTGCGCATCGATTTTTTTACATTTGTTTTTTCGGCGTTTGCGGAAACGAAGTACACTATCTGCATAATATATTGTCAAGTTCGTGGACGTTTGCTAATTATAAAGGGGTGAATGTTGAAACTCCATCCTCCCTTGCTTTTCGTACATTAATGTATTAACTTACAGTCTTTTACCTCTAATTAAATGAAGCATGTCCGAACGAAAACCTTAAAAAAAGTTTGTTAAAGGATGACTTGGAAATGAGCGTGTGTACTTAGGAGACGAAAGTGTTTAATTTTGTCTCCGTTTGCACCCATCATACCGGAAAATTTTGAAATGCACCTAGATTATTTAGAAAGATCAAGTTGTGCTTTAGAGACAGCAAAAAAATAAACATGGAGTACAGTTAACGCTCTGACCTCTGAGAGTGACCAGCATCTAATTTCTCCTTACAGTATCAGCCCTGAATCACAAATTAGGCTCACAAGAATAAAGGAAATGATCACCAACTAAGGACGCTCTTAATTTTTAAACAAATTCTCCCTGTCAGCACCCTAGGAAACATATGGAGAACAGTATGGAGAATATGCACACTGATGTTAGGGTGTAAAGGGTTAAATCACAATTTATATTCTGTTTGAAGGAGTATTAGGAATAGCAGTATGCTTTATTCCACTGCCAATCAGTTGATCAGTTATATTAATTGGCATCAACCCAACTTTTATCCAAAGTCTTGGTTTAGTTTTATGGATGAAACAAGTTAAATAGTCTGTTATAGCCAAGAATCATCACTGCAGCCAATAACTGCCTGAGAAAAGCCAGAGTAAGAAAGTCAAGATTTTGCTGTGAACCAGATCTAATAGATGTTTCTTTTGTAGTTTGTTCTGCTGTTTTTGTCATGGATTTGTCAGTTGAACAGGAAAGTCTTGTGGCAATTGGCTCAGAAGCATTTCCAACATCTCCTGAGATTCTCTCAGAAGAGTCACATTCTTTGATAGCATGTTCATCAGATGAGTGCTCAAATGTAGAGGCTAAAGAAGGTAATGATTGTGTCTGAAACAGATGAGCCTAGTTGGACAAGTTGTCTTACACTCAAGTGATAGCACAAAAGGCACAACTTACCTTGATCCCTTTACTGAAAGAACTTTTATTAAGTACTGCAACCCCCCTCTCCCCCTCCTGGATAGTGACATTGCCTTGTGCTTCAACGTTAATCCTGTTTTAGTTTGGTCACTAGTAAATTTTATTGGGTATTATCTGTTAACGCATGGTTACATTCAATTTTGTTGTTGCTTCTAAGGATCTGGAGTGTCTTCCAGTTGTTCCTCTGATGTGGTGCAGTCAATTCCAAATGAAATAATAACTGAGGCAGGGAATGAAGAGCAACAGTGTGTCACCATTGTGACAGATACCATCAACTGCAGCTCACCACAAGTGTTAAATGATAGAAATGAAGAAACAGATGCAGATGATACAGGTATTATGCACCTGAATCAGGCTATAGTTTACATTCATCATTTGTTGTTTTGTTTAAAAAAAAATGTTATTGTATTATTCATTTCACTTGTGGATAAAGCAAGAAGTGAAATGTACAATAGCTGGCTTTCAACCAAAAGAATTTTGAGTAACACTTTTGTCCTCTGTTTTTTTCATTACAAGGCTTATTGTACATTCAGAACTGCAGCTCACCAGAGGAAAGTCAGCAAACTCAAATGCTTGTGTTGCCCAGGTCAAGGGAAGCAACCAAGTAAGCACCAAGTGTTTGATAATCTTGTTTTGAAGTTTTTCTACTTGCTCTCCTATCTCTGAGCTTATAAAATTTCAAACTGTTTCACCTTTTTTGAAAATGTTAACTTTGTAAAATCTTCATATATCAATTTGAAACAATAAAGAAAAGAATGAAATTAATTTTTCCAGTTAATTCACAAATATAGGTTACTAATGCAGTTTCCCTTTATGTCAACTAGAAATCAATCACGATTGTTTGAATGTGATTATCCTGATTGTGGAAGAACATTTACCACTGCAGCACATCTCAGATACCATGTTCGAACACACACAGGAGAAAAACCATACTCATGTTCACATGAAGGATGTGGCAGGAACTTTACATCATCTGGCTACCTACGATATCACCAATGTACACACAATGGAAAAAGGACATTCAAGTGCCAACACCCAGGATGTGACCGTGTATTTGCATGGCCAGCACACATGAAATATCACATGAAGACTCACACAGGAGACAGAGCTTATCATTGTACTTTTGAAGGTTGCAACAAAAGCTTTTATGTGTTACAGAGGCTTAATGTTCACATGAGAGTACACACAGGTGAACGGCCTTACACATGTAATGTGGAAAACTGTTTGAAATCCTTTACAACACAAGGAAATCTGAAGAATCATATGCGCATACACACAGGTAAGTCAAATACAGGATTCTCAGTTGAAGATAACACCTGATAAATGATCTCTCTTCCTTGAAATTTTTTAACTTCCCATTGTACATTACCCTTTGCCTTTTTGTGCCTACTTTCGATATCCTTTTAGATCTCCTTCAAAACCTATCAAAATTTTGATAATGATCCCCAACCTTCCTAACTTTACTTATCAGTTGCTATTAATGGTTCATTTTTGTGGTTCTTCTGATTGCTCACTTTTACCACTTTTTACCCATTAACAGGGGAAAGACCTTACATGTGTACTTATGAAGGGTGTGGTCGCACTTTCACTGAACACTCTAGTCTTCGGAAACACAAGCTTATACACACTGGAGAGAAACCATACGTCTGTGAAATCTGTGGCAAGACATTTAGTCAGAGTGGAAGCCGCAATGCTCATCAAAAGAGACATGCAGATGCAAACAAGAGCGACAAGAGAAGCAAGAAGACAACAAGCAAGAGTGGTACTACCACACAGATTACTGAGGATACAGAAGGTGGCCAGATGCTTCAGCACCTTGATGATATGGAAGATACAGGTATAGTCCTTTTTCATGTTAGCAGGCAAGTGTAGTCTTTTTGTAGAAACAAGTCTCAATACAACATGCTCTGTGAGGGTCAAAGTGCTTAATATAAATTTATTAATTTTTTTAGCTACAGTTGTACAAGGGGAGCGTTTATGTGAGGTTAAGCACTTAATCAAATAAGCAGGGTACTAACAAAATCCTAGTCTTTTTAGCCTTCTGGGGAAAAGGAGATTGGTTTTGGTTATCAGAAGGGTAGAAAAATTGGGATATGACTACAGTGTTCCACTAGGAAAGGGAAGGCAGTTTTAAAGGTACAAAGTTTTGTAAGGAGCTGTAGTGCTGTGTCTATTTGGCTGGTGTCAGTTGACGAAGGAATGTAATTTGGCCATTTGCTCTGACAAAAGGACTAATGCTTGAAATGTCACCTGTAGAGACTACTTATGGTGGCTAATTTACACTGTCAACTTAGTTGATAAACCAATTTATCTTGGAAGACAGTTTAAGTTTGATTCATCTAGAGTTTGGAGAAACTTTAAGGTTTGAGCAATCATGCTTTTCCCAAACTTCTAGTGAGGTACAGATCTATTAGTTACCTGGCCTATGGACTAGTTATATTTTTGCTTTTGTTCTGGAAACTGAAAAGTGCCGTAATTTTGTTTATTTTTTTTATCTTTAGGAGAAGATGAGCAATCCATTACTTCCCAAGCCCTTGTGTTCTCACAAGGAGAGCATACCATAGTAACACAAGCATCAGGTGACCATTTGGTACTGGCTCAACCCATTGTAGCTAAGGAAGTGTCCATAGAAACCACGCCAGTTCAGACAATGTCTCTGCTAGTGCATGCCACTGATGACCCAATGGTAAATCAAGATGGTCTCGTGCGGGCAACTGCTGATGTTGTGTCCCTGGCAGAAACTGTCGTGGCTCAGCAAGCTGTCATTCACACCATGCTAGATGGAGCAGCCATCATTCCCACAAGTAGCCAGTCAGAGATGTCTGTTGTGGATCAGGTGTTGCATCAGTCAAATGTTGAGCATATGATGCAAGGTGTTGTAAGCCAACACATCCTTGCTGGGCAGATCCAGCTGCCTCTTTCTGTGGAGTTGGAACCAGGACAGGAACAGGGTGGGGTTGTACCCCATCTGACAGTGGACCTGTCTGGGCTCATTCAGCAGACCGATGAACAGTCTGGACAGGACAGTGAGGATGAGGAAGTGGTAAAAGAGCATGAATTTCATGTTGTAACAGATGATAAACAAGATATGCAAGAAAACATTCAGTAATTATTGTAACACATTTATGGTGCTCTGCTATTCTTAACTCCACAATTTATTTAGCAAAAGTCGTGACTAGTATAATAGATAGAATTAACAAATTAAAGAGTTAGTTTGGTTAATTATACAATAAAAGAATAGTTGTCATGGAAACATTTGACCCTCATTTGTTAAATCAACTCTTTGAGAACACAACACTAAATTATCACTTTTTGTCACAATATTGATTCATGTTCACTGTTGATTTTGGAATCCATGTTTGTCCATTAAGAAATTTGACCCTTTACAGCCCTACAAGAATATTTTCCTCACAGTTTTCTATATAAATTCTATAGTTCTGACAATAATTCTTTTCCTCTGCTCTCATGTCCTTAATTTTAGACCCAAGGGTAATGCTCTAAGAAGGAATTACATGCTAGTCACCACAGCCCAGAAAAACTAGGTCGAAAAGGTGGAGCAAAATACGCAAGAACAAATCTAGTCCTTGTAAACTGCCGTTTGTGCTGACTTCCATTGCTTATTTATAGGGACTTATGTCTGTGAAAAAGTTGGCAAATTAAAAGCCAATCAAGAGGCTAAACCACAAGAGAAAGTCTTTTCTCAGTGAGCTTTGCATAGCGTACATAACAGGTATGCAGCTCTGCATTCTTGTGCAAGCAAAATACAATGACGCGCGACTACACATCACTGTTCACAGCGTATAGCTAGTCTTATTTCTATGCTCCATCTCTCGCAAGAACTACAAGCAGTCCCTCTATGGCAAATTCAGTGGTGCGTCTGAAAAGTTTGCAAAGAAAAGATTTTTGGTCCCCCGCGCGACCTTTGGGAGTGAGGCGTACGAAAAAGTAGCATCACTTTAATATTTTTAGCACGCACGACCATGTCAACCATGTGCGATGGAGTTCGCCAAAAAGGAGGGACTGTTGAAAGTCCCCCTCTCAAGAGAATCACCCCTCCTGCACGCTTTGTGCTCTCCCCCACTGAACTGCAAAATGCGAAGAATACAAGCCCAATGGTGGCTTATTAGTAATAATGACGAGCTTTCATTCGACCTTTATTGAAAAATTCACCGAGTATTGCTGCAGGGGGCCATCTCGCACGACGGTAACCGGTCAAGTCGCCCGAGAGTCATGTCGCCCAAATCTTTAGTCAGGTTGCCCGAAATTTTAGTTATGTCGCCCGAAAACAAGAGTTAAGTCGCCCGAAGAAACAAATACAATAAACATCAGAATTTCAGCGTGCGTTTGAGAAACGATTCTAAAAGCGTTGTTCGTTTCTAGCAACAAAGGAAGCGTTGTCCGTTTCCAACAACAAAATGAAGCATTGTTGGTTGGTCTGTACTCATTTCTTACTCGCGGACATTTCGTAAGCTTGAGAAATTCTTTCTTGGTTTCTAATAACGTCATGAAGACTTTGACCACAAAGAAATCGATCGTATGGTCGGAATTGAAATCTGTTTGAGCCACGATTCTAAAAGCATTGTTCGTTGAACAACAAAGGGAAGCGTTGTTCGTGTCTAACAACAAAATGAAGCGTTGACCCTTTACTGACTCGTCAAACGCGACAATCGACATTCGTTTATCTGGTTTTTTTCATCTGTTATTGTTAATTCTTTTAGAATCTTTATGGTGTTGTCGGAAACAGAGTGCTTTAGTGTGAAAAATTTCTCAACTTTATTGCCTATTTACAGTCTGAAATTCTGATGTTTTTAGTATTCGTTTCTTCGGGCGACTTGACTTTTTTTTTCGGGCGACAAAACTAAAATTTTGGGCAACATGACTCGTGTTTCGGGCGACATGACTTTGGACGACATGACTTTGGACGAGATGACTCTTAGTCGACTTGACTGTAAGCCCGCACGATACCTTGTCCGCTCGTTTGGCTATTTCGAGCAGAAGTCGCTCAATAAGTCTCCTCTGCTTGAAACACACGACTCAGTTGCTACAGAAGTAACTGACGGCATTGTGCATTTCTCGTTCGTCAATGTTTTTTACTTACCGGTAAGTAAACTGATCAAGTTATGAGAACAAAAATTTCAGATGGTTTTTGTCACTTTGCAGTAACACAAGATGGTATCAAACGCTAAATTGACTAATACAAGTCAATTTGAGGCGGTTGAGCTACTCTAGTATGCCTAAAGCAACGATTGACCTTGCCTTAATGTTAAGAAATTAAGATAAAATGGCATTAATGTTTTTTAAATGTACTAGCTTCTTAACAGCTCCATCATCATAGTGGTAGTGGAAAAAGTTCTTATCATCCCAGGAAACCAGGTGTCAAGTACTGTAACTTAACCCTTAACTCCCAAGATTGCATTGGTAACTCTCCTTTTTGTCTGCCATACAACTCATGTGATGCTCGTTTGAAGAATTTGGAATTATATCAACCAATAATCCCCTAATTGACATTTTTCTCTATTCTCGTTACTTGTCTGCTTGACATCATACTGATCATACTGAAGTTCTGTCCAGGTCACTAGTGGGATTTGAAAGGTTAGCTACCTCTCGCTTTCCCCATTATTTTAGCCCTCTTAAGTCGTACCATGCAATTTAACACAATAGTTAATGTAAAAGAAAAAAAAGAAGAGAAAGACAGCACAAATATCATCCAAACGTAGTTTATTTTCAATTAATACCAAGTTACTAAACACCAAAAACTCTGATAATTAACCATGCATGATCCAAAGATATATCAGTCAAAATGACATCAAATTGATTTGTCAGGTAGATCTGTTTTATGTGCTGCCTGCCGGCTGCGTAAAACCAGACTTAAAAAAACCCTTGCAGGATAAAAATAGTCTGGAAACATAGTCCTGGCCCAGTGCAGGCAGCTGACACCCAGGCATGCCATGAAAGACTTATCTCAAAAAATTTACACATTTCGAATTGAATATAATTTCAGATGAATCTCCACTTTGTTTTCACTTGAAAAATAAATCTGAAAAGAAAGAAAAAAAATCACTGACTCAGTGAAAAAAAAATATGTATATTAAATTGCACAGATGTAGTATTAAAAATAATTCTTAATTTCCATTAGTACCTCAAACATGTGCTAATCCAAGCCTGGAGTGTAATTCATTTCACAGCATCCTTACAGTTTACACCTTCCTATGAAAACAAAAGAAAAATAGCAAGGGTAATGTAACCTTGTTTTCTAGCTTTTCTTTAGCCTTCCTGGGAATGTGACTTCTGGAGTTCAACTCACCTGTTTTCAAGCAGATCCTCCTCATCTTCCACACTGTGATGTCTGCTGGTACATCTGCAACCTAAACCCTGGCCTATCCTGACCTCACTGCTACTTCAACATGTTTAATCTAATTGCTAAATTAGGCTTAGCCCACGCATAGACACTGCTGCATACATGATCCATAATCAGTTTAAAATAAAAGTACTGCAAACTTAATTTCTTTTAATTATGAGAACCAGCACAACAAATTTCTTTAATAACTGTGTTATCATGAAAGTATAACCAACTACAGTTTAATGTTGCCTTAATGTACATTTTGTAATATTTATCAATAACAGTACACAATAATGACAGCAAAGAAACTAATTCACTGAGATTACAAAAGAAAGTCAAAAACGCAACCTGAAGTAGATGCAAATCCACTAAACTTTAACACTGTCAAGATTAGAATGAAGTATACACTGTTTGCACAACTACAAAAATTGACTTTTTAGAAAAAGAACTAAAGGTAAAAATGTTTAACCGAGATTGTTTTCCTGCATCCAATGCTTCGCTACACTTGAAAAAGAAATATACAAAACCGTTGCGACCAGAAACAAATACATATCTGAAAACTAACCTTCATCCTGTAGGAGTTGTTCACAAAGCTGCTGAGACTTACAAAGTACACACTGTTTCCCAGACAAACATTTCAAACTGAATGTGATGGCAAATGAGGCTAAAATCATGTCTTACTTTGTATATCCGAGTTGAAGTGGAGCTTGCCACAGCAGAAACTGCTCAAGATACTGATGGAACACACATGGTGTTGACATGAATGTTGAAATCAAACCATAATAGTGGCAAAAAATAAGATTCAATACCTGAAATTTAGGTATCCAGTTCACCAGAGTTTATCTGAACAAATGTGATTAGAAAGACTACAAACAGCTGACTGTCAAGAAGAAATGTTTGATGCTTTTGATACTGCAGGCACACAATCCATCTTATTTCGGAGTGGGACAGAAAAATTACCAGAAGACTGTGGATCCTGACAAAATATCCAACATTTGCACATACAAAGAAAAATTTTGGAATGAATGCCACAACTGACAAGTACAATGTCCAAAAAATTTGCATTCACCAATGAGAAAGAGCTTGTCAACTGTCCATAGATTGGCAAGTAATGACTTACGCCACGATGTTCACACCAGGCCTTAGCTTGAAGGTGACCAAGTTCAATTAATGTAAATTCCATCTGGCACATTAAACTTCTGTGAAAACTGAACAGAGCATACACCACATCTACTCAAATTGGAATTTGAAAGATACTTGATTTTGGTACCTGATATCTTGAAAGCCTTCCAAGATTTAGCCAAAGTTTGACGACATCTCAAATGATAAAGGTAACCAAGGAATCACTAACACTTGAATGAACTAGAAACAAAAATGCTGTCGACTTCGCAAAGTATCCACTGCGTTGCCAATAATTTGAAGTGATAATTCATGCTGGAAATACCTTGAACAAGGAAACCGTTTCATGATTGGAGTTGAGCTGCCCAAGTGTAGTTATTCAAGATGAAGTATGCTTATAGCAAGTTCAAACCAAAAAACAAAAGTTCTGTAAAGACTGAACAAAGCATGCACCACATTGCCACTAATTTGAAATAATGATATGGTAATTCATATTGCAATTACCTCAAAAGTTGGTACCTAATACTCAACCTTAATTGTGCTGCGCTTGGCTGGACAAACTATTGAAGATACTAATGAAACATACATGGTATCGAGAGAAATACTGAAGTTGAAAAAGATGACAAGAAGAAGTACCTCTGCTTTTCGGATCCAGTTTGCTTAGAATTTTTTCCCCTGACAAATCTCAAGATTTACTGGTAATCGGCTTCTGAAAGCGTGCCGATGGAATGGAAAAATCTGGCTTTGTCCAAAATGCTCACAAATTCCAACTAGCTTAGAGGAGATGTT